TAGACAAATGCAAAACACTTCACATAGAAAAAGGAATCCTGAAGAAAGAAGATTTTGCACTTTGGAAATGGAGACATTATTGAATCCATGTAAGAGGGCGAGTTCTACAAGTATTTAGGATTCCAACAGGCCAAACTAACAGAACATACACAAATAAAGAAAAGATTAATTAAAGAATACCAAAGTAGGTTAAATGCTATTCTCATTACACAGTTAAATGGAAAACACACAGTTAAAGCAATAAACACATATGTCATTCCAGTAATAAACATGTATGTCATCCCGGTAATAAACACATATGTTATCCTTTTGGAGTTATACATTGGACTCACACAGATCTTGAGCAATTCCAAAGGAAAACAAGAACAACAGTTACTAAGCATAAACAACAACATCATCCTAAATCTGCCACAGAAAGATTAACCCTTCCACGTAAAGATGGCGGACGTGGCATAATTGACATAGTTAACCTTCACTACAAACAAATACAGTCACTGTGAGAGTTTTTCTATAAAAAGCAAGAAACATCACAGTTACATAAAACAGTATATAAAAAGCATAAACACCGTCAAGCAGTTGTGGGCACAAAAGGCACTCCATGGTAGGCATCCTTACGACCTGGCCCAGGATTTTGTTGACAAAACTGCATCAAACAGCTGGTTATATTGGGGATACCTCTTTGAGGAGACGGAAGGATTCATGATTGCCATACAAGATCAGGTCATAAATACTAAAAACTACAGAAAACACATCACTTCTGGTTGCAAGCTCTTGGCACAGACAGATTATTTACATAGACACAATCAAGTAGCAAATATAATACACCAAGAGCTTGCAAAGAAACACAAATTATTAGACATCCATAAACCATACTATAAATACATTCCACAGACAGTATTGGGAAAAAACAAGCACAAAATGTACTACAACAGAGCCACAATCACAGATAAAACATTTTACCACAACGGACCAGACATCACATTCATTGACAAACACAATAAAATCACATACATTATAGACATATCCATTCCAAACACTCACAATGTACAAAACATGCACTGAAAAAGTCAGTAAGTATACAGAACTTGCCCAGGAAATAAGGCATCTGTGGAAGATGGATAGGGTTCTTATTATACTTGTTGTTCTCTCCTCTACAGGTGTCATACCATACACATTACACAAAAGCCTGGGCACATTACAATTGAATACATGTCATATTATTAGGAAATTCCTGAATACAGACACTGACACAGTTTTTTAATTTTTGTTTTGTTTTGGTTACTATGCTTTGACTCTGGTCTGGCAGAGTACACTGCCACAGGTGTCAACTGAGTATAACTCACAGAACCCAACAATAATAATAATAATAATAATATGGTATAATGATTTATGTTAGAAACATTGCCAAAATTATTTTATAATCATGCTTAAATAATTAGCCAAAGATCTAAAGCTGGATCACTCATGGACTATAATTATGCTAATTATTAATAATCCAATTATATAATTTGATCTACTTTTAGGTGAAATTATATAATTGGATCATTTATAATTAACACAGCTATATCCTCTGAATAATATGGACTTCTTTGTTTAATTGGCTGTTGGGTTATAGTTTGTTTAACAAACATTAATTAAAAAAAAAATGATATATGAAATATTTAAAATGCATTGAATAAGAATCTAGATCTATNAAAAATAATAATTGTTATAATGTGTACTCCAAAATAGAATTTATGGACCAAACACATCCGTTGATTGGGCAATAGAGGGTCGTCGCCTTATTCCTTTATTGCCTCGGCTAGTTCCACAAACGGCTTTTACAGCAGTAGCAAATTCTGTTGCTAGTATTCAAGCTGCCAAAAATGCAACGATGCCTTTGCCAAGCGCTTCGGGAGTTAAAGAAGGTGATATATTTTAAATGTTTGTTATATAAAGTAATGCAATTTCAATTGTCAATAATCTTATGGATAAATAATCTGGCAGATTGTTTGGCAATACTAAGTCAGTTGGGTTGTTGTGTATGTTGTTATATATAATGTATTAATTTTTTAAAATTTATTTTATACTTTATATCAATAGCTACAATAAGGAAACTGAACACACTTTAATAGAGTCATTCAATTTATTACTTGGATTCTGAAAGGAACTACATGTATTCCATATGCTCACTACTCCATTGAACTCTCACCAACCCCTGTTTTTCTATTGTGTTGCCATATCAGCAGGCAAGCAAGAATGGGGTAGAGAACTCAATACTCAACATTACCACCCACCTTGAAGGCATAGTCTTCAAACTGTGTGAACAGGAGAGGAGGGACATGGATGCTTAAATACAAATTAAATTGAATGAGTTACAATCAAGGAAGCTTACATACATTGAACATAAAGTTGAATTAAATCATTAATCTGATAATTCTGTGGATAGAGAACGTAATTTGCAAACTGATCTCTTAAAAGTTCCTACAGCAGTTTTAAAAGTGACAACTTGGCCTGTGTATAGTAGTCATTCGATCAAGAAGACACTTGAGTGGTTGAGGATTCTTCTCTTTGATTAATACCAGCTATCCTGTCTTGATGTTGTTCCCTTCTTTTATCCACTTAGTTCATTGTTGTAAGGAGGACAAATATTCTGCATGCCATTTTTTCAGAATTGCTGTGTGACGCATTGAAGTAGCCACTATCTGGAAATTCTAGTCAGTTTAAGATGTTCCAAATCAGGTTCTGAAGTTGTGTTCTCCAATAAGGAAATGACCTGGAGTCAGTGCATCCAAGTCATAGATGTCACTTGTGATGGGTAAAGTGAACATGAATTCAGTGCATTCAAGTCATACAGGTCACTTGTGATGGGTAAAGTGAACATGAATTCAGGAAAGCTTTAATTTGAGTTAGTATTGTTGTCATTACAAATAATCTGAGTAATGTCAATGCAATGACTGTCCTGAGATGATATTTGACTGATTTTATTCCAGCCTTTCTCATACCACTAAAGTGCAGTGAACTTTGAGGAATGAAGTGCCATTGGATTATTTCCATTGTTAGAACAGTTGATAACTTATTGTTGAAGCTCATTATTTGCTCCCACAAAAATTTTTCCCATTGTCACTACAAATCTGCTGGAAGCGTTCTTCTGACAATGAATCTACTACAGGTTGCAGTAAATGCTTTGGTAGTGAGGTCACTCATCAATTCTAAGTGAGTAGCCTTTGTTGAGAAGCAGATGAAAAGTGCTACAAAGGCCTTGAGATGCTGGAAACCTCTTCCAGGTTTAGAGCAAAGTAAGAGTGGACCAGCATAGTCTACCCCTGAACGGATGAATAGCCTTGCTTACTGAACTGTATGTGCTGGAAAATTGGCCATCAGTTGTTCATTTGCTGATACTCTTTGTCTGAAACATGTTATGCACTTGTGTATGAATCTTCTAATTGTATCTTGTCCAAATAGAATCCAGTAATTTCTGTCGAAGAGATGTCAACAATAGCTGAGTACCTGCATGTAGAAGTCGATGATGCTCATATGCAATAATGAATTATGTAGGGTGATGATGTATCGGCAGGATGATTGGTTGTCTCTGGTTGAATTTCAATTCACTATTGTTAAGACAACCCCACCCTAAGAATGCCCCTTTCATCAAGAAATGGATGGAGAGACTGAAGACAGCTTTTTTTTGATATTTGCTCATTCTTGCTAAAACTGGTAATTTCATCATGAAATTCAATGTGTTGTATAATTCTGATTCACACAGAGAGCTTCTCTGAGCTGAACTGTGGAAAGCAAATCAGCATTTTTTTACCCTATTCCTAGTATTGTTGATGAATCTAAGACAGTATACAATCACATGATGAAGAGTAGACAATGATAAATATTTGTGTAAAAGTGAATCATCAATCTCGACACAAATAGCATGAATTTTTGCCCTTTTCCTGGAATGTTTAAATTAAATTCTGAAGAAATGCTTAAATTAAAACACATTTTTGTGTTTATTGTTTATTTCAATTTAAACATTTCTTGATTGTTAAAAGTATTAGTTCTTTTTAAAATGTAACAAATACCCAACTTCAATGTCATTATTATTTTAATAGAAAAAAAAGTAAACTATGAAATGGTTATTATCATGACTGTATTGCTTAAATAGCATTTTGCTGTGTATGTAACATAACAGAATTCTTATTTTTATATTAATATTTCAGATATTTATTAAACTGCTTTTTTTGGATTTTAGATTTCTCATTATTTCTAGTGCTTTCAGATTTATATAATTCATCCTCAGTGGCTTTATTTTAATGGTAAGTATTCAAAAATGATTCACTTATCAAAAATCACATTTAAGAAAATATCAGTCCATATTAGAAAACAGTCAAAAAGTAACATATAACAGAATACTTTTAGGCCAAGACTCCAATAGCGTAAAAACTCTTGTCATAAATACAGTTAATCACTTGACCATGATATTTTACACTGGAGCAAGTTGTAAAACAAGGGTAAAGAGAGTTGAGCAGTGTTCAACTTTTGACATGAATATGTCTGTAAAACGGTACCATCAACCAATTAGAAGTCAGTAGAGACTATGTCATTGTGACATTGTGTAAAAATTGGCAGGAAACGAGCTTTCATGTACGTTTTCTTATAGCTACTTAGAAAAGACCTAGAATAGATCTGGAAAGATTCATTGAAAACATTCAAAAGTATCTATGTATATATTACATGAGACATTCCAATTATAAGAATGGATGCTTAAAACAAGCGATGCAGATGGTCAAAGGAAAATCCTTCAATTTAGATGAGTATATAAAAAAGTTTAAATGCAGTATAGTATCTTAATAATATGATAATAAAATTAAATATATGAAAGTAAAGATATTATTTTTACTACATTTGTAATTATAGTACAGAAAATATCATAGAATATAATCATTATCTTTATATCAATATATCACGTATACAATCGTAACTTTGATAGTACCATCATCATAAAAACTGCTAGTGGAGACAGATCTTCACTACAATCTTCAACACAAATGCGAATAGGTCACGTGATTAAAAGTATTTACAATGAAGATTTTTACATTAGTGAAGTCTCATCCTAAAAGTATTCTGTTAAATGTTACTTTTTCACTATTTTCTAATGTGGAGTAGGAAATAATAGTATAAAGTGTATGAAAAGGCACTGTGTTTGGATCTTTTCTAGTTCTAATGTCCTGGATATGTTGGGCCTTACCTTTCACCACTCAATGACCCCATTGAGGACCTGGACAAACCCACAATGGACCTGGAAAAATGACCATTATAGTGCCCACTATGATGGCCATTTTATATACTGTGCGCGTGTGTGTGTGTGTATATATATATATACAGTGGGTGATAGGTTAACGAACATGATCTGTTCCAAGACTTTGTTTGCTATCTGAATTGTTCGTTAACCAATTATCAATTTACCATAGGTTTGTATCGGAATTTGATTAATTCGTTGTGGAGACCCCAAAAAATAAAAAATATATACTTTCTTACTACATTTATTTATACATAACGTATTTATACATATTTATTTATTTATACATAACATATTTATACATACGTGCATGTTTTTTTGTTTGTGGGAGTTAAATAATCTGTCAATGTCGATTGCTTTTCTCTCTTCAGGATTTTCAGAATTAATAGCATTGTAATTGTAGAGATCCCCAAGCCTATTAACCTCAACCTGGTTTGTATGCCATTCTATGACTGTTGATCCCCCATTTCTTCAAAAGATCTTTAATTAATAGCAGATATCAGCATTAATCCTCTTTTTCATAATAAAACATATCTCGCTGAGTTTCTTGGTGTTCATTCAAGAGTTCTTGGCATTCTTCTGTCGTCAGATCAGTTTCAGGTTCCATTATGAGCTCTTCAATGTTCTTTATTTCTCAGATATGATATTTGTTACTCCTTTAGCTGCTTGAGTGTTCTTAATTATACAGTATCTTTCTTAGATAAGATTGAACTGTGCCCTACTGTAGATTTGTTCAAGCCATACTGCCCAGCAATATCGGACATCTTCTGCCCACTCTCTACCTTTGCTATTATACTCTCACCTTTTGAAAATAAAAACCAATGCAAAACTTAACGAGTGCCTGCCCAACAGTCTCGTGAATATTATAAAAGAATTGTTTGTCAGAAAAATAAAAGGCTGGAATTACAAGGGAGTATTTGAAGGTTCGAGGAATACTATTTGATCAGTATATATCGGGTTGAGTGTCGACGTTGACATCTCCCGTGCTCCAAAAAGTTACCTGAAGATAAAGGAAAATCAATTGGTATTTGCTATTTCCGTCACTTCTTTTTATGTTTGTTCAGTGAAGTGTTCGTTGTCTGATCATAAAAATCTTTCACGAAAGTGTTCATTATCCAATTTGTTCGTTAATCGATCACCCACTGTATATATTAGTGCTCACTTGTCTTAGTGATACAGTTTATATTACCATTGAACGGTCTTGATTTTTGTAATATTTTTTGAATAATTACAAATTGTTGTGTAATATTATTGCAAGTCAAGTAAGCTCAAAATGTATATAGCATAAATTCAGCAAATAAATCAACACTTTAAGTGTGAGAAATTTTCAATATATCAGTATATTCAGTAAGAAATACATTATATACTGTATTGGCATTTACAGTACAGATTACCAAACAAATTTGAATTATGTTTTAAGATTATTGTTTTGCAGTGCAGCAAATTCAATCATCTTACAATTGTGTGCTTATATAAGGTAATATTATATAAATAGATACATAAATATAACAAGAATGACAAATTATCAACTAGTTATCGATTCTTTTGTAATGAATCTTTCTCTATAAATATATTGTTGTCCGAATCTTAAACTAATCTTAAACTAGAATTTTGAGCTAAGAATCTTGAGATCAACTAATATGCTACAACTTAAGGTAATAGAAACTGTCTGAATAGTCTGTAGAGAATTGGTGATTTACATTAATAAATCACTTGGTCAAATTTAAATATAGGATGTATGTTAAATTCTAATTAAATTAATTATATATTTTATATGTTATATTTGTAAAATTTCTTGAAATGATTGAGACATTCATCTATATAATTTTTGTGTTAAATTTTGAATAAAACATTTAAAAAAGTAATCAATTTTAAAAATATATTGATATTTATTGTTATTTTTAGGTGCTATTCCAACAACTAGCAGTGCCCCTCCTACTCCATCCAGAACCCCTACACCTACACAAACATGTAGAGTTTCATTACCAAGTTCAATTCCCTTAAAAACTACTTCAGTAAATGGAAACAACTCTGGAAATCTTACTGGTGGAATTATAACAAGACTACCTCAAGAAACAAATGGTAAATATTACATAATGTGTCTCCTAAAAATTTAGAAATTCAAGCAAATTTGAATTTTCTTAACTGTTATTGTCTGCTAACTATATATTCAGATACTTTAACTACTTTATTTAAAAAAAAAAAGATTTGTTTCTGTGGCAATGCATCCACAGACCACAAAGGCTGGAAAACCACGCCAACAGATGAAATGGACAATAGAAATGAACGAGTTTATCATCCAACTTTTATGGTGAAGTTGTTGTCTGTACACTGTCATGTTTGTTTTGAGTTTCGTGATGGTGTACATCATGAAACTCAAAACAAACATGAAAGCATACAGACAAAAACTACACCATAGATTTACACAACAATATCCTCACCTCACTGTCACTGAACAAAGGGTTGTCGATCAAAAAAGAACAATTATACACAACAACCTTATCCCACAAACAACACTTGAACTTATCAAACAACAGATTGCTGATCAAATACATCAACAGACAGAAACACTTAATATTAATGAAGATCACATAACCTGTCAGGATAATCCAGCAACAAGCATTGATAATAGCACACATACAACAATTACAACTAATGATACTATAGGCACTTCCTCATCCATCACTGATAACATAGACATAGAATTAGTTAATACACTCTCACTTATATTTCAGGAAACACTCACTAAATATACAGGTACAGATCCCACACAAAGACCACGAATACCGAAAATCAACACGTCAAAGGTAGTAGGAAAAACACTAAATTATGTAAACACTCACTTACTACCAAACTACATTCATTCAATTTCTACACTCTCAGACATTCATACATTAGTTTATGCTGGGGCAGTCACAGTAGTAACACACCATGGACTGAAAATACACTCACAGACAGACACACACAAAACACAATTCTATCACAAGCCTGCCTGGCAGAGAAGAATAGAAACACAAATAAATGACATTAGACAGCAATTAGGCAGGCTGACACAATACACTAAAAACAACATAACACCCAAATTAAAGAAACAACTCAAAAACATTTTCAAGAAAATCAAAACACACACAAAACACGAACATCACAACACACACATTACAGAATACATCGATACACTAAAACAAAAACTCGCAGCCAAAGCACGTAGACTCAAACGATACAAAACATGTACACTACGAAAACAACAAAATAAATTATTCACAAACAATGAAAAACTTTTCTACAGACAAATCAGTACCAAAACAAACACTGATACACAGCACAGTGGCACACCAACAGAAGAAGAACTCACAACTTATTGGTCTTCTCTTTGGTCCAATGCTGTTACACACAATGCTGATGCAGGCTGGATCAAGGAGGAGAACAGAAACTTGCATAACATACCAAGTATGCCCTGTGCTGAAATAAACATACACGACATTCGCTACGCTGTTAACAGAACACACAACTGGAAGACACCTGGTGTAGACAACATTCACAATTTCTGGTACAAAAAGTTTACATCACTGCACCAGGAACTAGCTAAACATCTAACACACATCATCATCAATCCACAAGACATGCCAAAATTTCTTACTCGGGGCATCACCTACATGAAACCTAAAAACAACAAAACCACAGACCCCACACAATACAGACCAATTACATGTCTTCCAACACTCTACAAATTATTGACATCCTGTATCACAAACAAAATATACAAACATGTTGAAGAACACGACATTCTTACAGAACAACAAAAAGGTTGCCGTAGAAATCACAGGGGATGCAAAGAACAGTTACTCATAGATTCAGTCATTCTACGGCAAGCACACAAACAACACAGAAACATACACATGGCATATATAGACTACAGAAAAGCATTCGACAGTGTTCCACACAGTTGGCTGCTACATATTCTACACATGTACAAAATACATCCATCACTCATTGCATTCTTCGAAAACACTATGCAGCACTGGAGAACAACACTACATCTCAGGGTTAGTAACACTTCCATACAAACAAACGAAATATTCATTAGGCGAGGAATTTTTCAAGGAGATTCCTTGAGTCCTCTCTGGTTCTGCCTAGCCCTGAATCCATTATCCAACATGTTAAACAACACGCAATACGGCTACAATATCAGACACGAAAAAACAACACAGTTTACACTCTCACATCTCATGTACATGGACGACATAAAACTTTATGCATCCACACAAAAACAACTTCATCAACTCCTACAAATCACACATTCATACACTAAGGACATACAAATGGAGTTTGGCCTAGACAAATGCAAAAAACTTCACATAGAAAAAGGAATCCTGAAGAAAGAAGATTTTGCACTTGGAAATGGAGACGTTATTGAATCCATGGAAGAGGGCGAGTTCTACAAGTATTTAGGATTCCAACAGGCCAAACTAACAGAACATACACAAATAAAGAAAAGATTAATTAAAGAATACCAAAGTAGGTTAAATGCTATTCTCATTACACAGTTAAATGGAAAACACACAGTTAAAGCAATAAACACATATGTCATTCCAGTAATAAACATGTATGTCATCCCGGTAATAAACACATATGTTATCCTTTTGGAGTTATACATTGGACTCACACAGATCTTGAGCAATTCCAAAGGAAAACAAGAACAACAGTTACTAAGCATAAACAACAACATCATCCTAAATCTGCCACAGAAAGATTAACCCTTCCACGTAAAGATGGCGGACGTGGCATAATTGACATAGTTAACCTTCACTACAAACAAATACAGTCACTGTGAGAGTTTTTCTATAAAAAGCAAGAAACATCACAGTTACATAAAACAGTATATAAAAAGCATAAACACCGTCAAGCAGTTGTGGGCACAAAAGGCACTCCATGGTAGGCATCCTTACGACCTGGCCCAGGATTTTGTTGACAAAACTGCATCAAACAGCTGGTTATATTGGGGATACCTCTTTGAGGAGACGGAAGGATTCATGATTGCCATACAAGATCAGGTCATAAATACTAAAAACTACAGAAAACACATCACTTCTGGTTGCAAGCTCTTGGCACAGACAGATTATTTACATAGACACAATCAAGTAGCAAATATAATACACCAAGAGCTTACAAAGAAACACAAATTATTAGACATCCATAAACCATACTATAAATACATTCCACAGACAGTATTGGGAAAAAACAAGCACAAAATGTACTACAACAGAGCCACAATCACAGATAAAACATTTTACCACAACGGACCAGACATCACATTCATTGACAAACACAATAAAATCACATACATTATAGACATATCCATTCCAAACACTCACAATGTACAAAACATGCACTGAAAAAGTCAGTAAGTATACAGAACTTGCCCAGGAAATAAGGCATCTGTGGAAGATGGATAGGGTTCTTATTATACTTGTTGTTCTCTCCTCTACAGGTGTCATACCATACACATTACACAAAAGCCTGGGCACATTACAATTGAATACATGTCATATTATTAGGAAATTCCTGAATACAGACACTGACACAGTTTTTTAATTTTTGTTTTGTTTTGGTTACTATGCTTTGACTCTGGTCTGGCAGAGTACACTGCCACAGGTGTCAACTGAGTATAACTCACAGAACCCAACAATAATAATAATAATAATAATATGGTATAATGATTTATGTTAGAAACATTGCCAAAATTATTTTATAATCATGCTTAAATAATTAGCCAAAGATCTAAAGCTGGATCACTCATGGACTATAATTATGCTAATTATTAATAATCCAATTATATAATTTGATCTACTTTTAGGTGAAATTATATAATTGGATCATTTATAATTAACACAGCTATATCCTCTGAATAATATGGACTTCTTTGTTTAATTGGCTGTTGGGTTATAGTTTGTTTAACAAACATTAATTAAAAAAAAAATGATATATGAAATATTTAAAATGCATTGAATAAGAATCTAGATAAATATTTATTTCATTGATTGAATTTTTCAGATTTTAACTGTATTATTATTAATTAATTAATAATAATATTAATACTTTATTAATTTTTTTAAAGAGGAGAATCAGAGTGAAGATTTTAATGGAAAAAAGCGAAAAAGATCTGCATCTTTAGACTCTGCATCATTACCAGAAAAGATTACTATATCTTCTAATCCTTTGGTATCAGATGAAAATCAAGCACCAGAAAAACCTGTAACTACTACAAATAATGGAATGTTATGCTCAAGTACACCAGTTACTACTCAAGCAACAATTACAAGGACTTTTGCTACAACACCTATTAGAATAACACTGCCTTCATCTCAAAAACAAAATGCTGCTGTCAGTTCATCAGCTATACCAAAAGTATGTTTACGTTTTCTTTTTCAAATTTCTTATAATTAATGTAACTATAAATAATATGTATTTAATCACTTGCTTTTAATTTACACTGTAATTAATTAATTTTAAGTAAATAGGGAAAAAATAAATAAAAAATAAACAGAAGAAAATTTATACAAACATTTCTGACAATCAAAATAACCAGAATTTAGTTGAATTTTTTATTAAAATGCACAAGTTCATGTAAAATATGCAGGTTTCATAAGTACAATAGTATCATGGCATTGTTTCTACTACAGTTTAACATTGAGGATAGTTTATTACTATTTTACTGTATGCTATTGACAGTGATAATGCCACAATATGCCACATAGATGATTTTACAATAAAAAGAATTATTGGGAGGCTATAAGCAGGCCTGCTTAAGAATCTGAATATGCCTGCATATCATTATATTTGGATTTTAGTCCAGATTTCAAAAACAGATGTTGGACATCAGCTAGGAAATGGATGTCTAAGAGTTACCATCCCTCAACAAGACCATTATTAACAGCATGTTGTAACAGAATAATTTCTGATAGACAGCTCTGTACATAGCTGTCTACGGCTACTGGTGTTCACAATGAACTGTCTACAGGAGACTTAGGCAAATGGACTTTTTGTCAGATGTCAGTATGTTGCACTCCATTGACTCATGTGAACAAAAGAGCTCATTTAAGATGAAGTCAAAAACATCAGCACTGATTTTGAATGAATGGGGCAACATTCTATTCACTGCAGAACTGTACCTGGACTGTTCTATTCACACTCCAGGTACTGTCTGTGAATGATTCTCATTTGATTAGAATCTGGAGAGAGCAGAGCAACTGATACAGTTCCATTAACATCACAGAAAGAGATCAGTTTGGAAGTGGTGATATTATCATCTGGCTTAAAATTATATGAATTCTGTAAATATCATATATGATATAATAATTTTGTTAAAAATGATTAAGTATTTGTGACATCAAATGTGTCTGTATTAATATTTAATTTAATAAAATTATTATTTATTAGATATTATTTAATATCAACAAATTAATTAGTTTCTAATAATTAACTTTACCATATAATTGCCCAATAATTTGGCATTTGGTTTGGTTTTTTATTTAATAAAACAGTGATGATGAAATCAAATTCTTCTTCATCAATAATCTTTCACTAAGAGCATCCATTCAGAAAATATAAAGATAGAATGAACTGATCATCATGTTTTTGCAAGAGAGCAAGCTTTTGCTTGTCTCTTTACCTCCTTGCAATAATATATAAAATTGAGGATATAGCCACTCAGTATATTCATTTCATTACTAAGTAATCAGTCTAGCTATTCATCATTTGTTTCTCTGTTTCTTGTTGTAAATAAACTTTAAAATTGAAGTGGTGGTGATGATAGAAGATAATCGTTATTGTTTTGTTTTGTGTTCAATAATGGAAAAGTCATCAATGGTTGCATTCAGTAGACTCAATGGTATCAGAGATATCTACTCTTTTACTTTTCTGTTCACATTCTCTACAGAAGCACTACTTCAGAACATGTGGAGTGTGTTGACATCATGTTTAATAGTGGACTTTATTTATGCTACCTTCGGTTATCTATAATTGATCAAAGATGGCAGTACTCACATAGCAAGTGAAGTATATATTATTTATGCATATGAAGGTGTGCATTACAGTATTAATCCACTCACAAAAATTTATTAGCAACTAAAAACATATATGTATGTAAAACAAAACTTTAAAAATGAATGTAATCTACTTTGTCAAATGTTTTCAAGTTTGCGGAAATGAGCAGAAGCTATTGAAGTGCCACTATTCATTCACACAAACTCATAATTCATCATTCAGCAGATTCATTGCCATTATGTAATAGATACTCCCATCATATCTCTGCTCAATTAAAACTATTGAGTCTTCTGAACGGTGCAAATTTTATCAATGTAATGTTAGGGTCATTGTTAAAATGGCTAAAATGCCTATTTTAATAATAGTTAGTTTTTGGATTTTGCAACACTAGAATTTTCTACCTTAGTTACTTAAAAATGGTGGATGATATGTTTTTCTTAAATATTCTTTACTAAATTATAGATTTATTTTAAAAGAGAGGAAAGCAGTTGAAACTCTCGTAACAAAATGCAAATACAGTCAGTTTATAATAATTTTTCATTTGTATTTAACAATGTGAATCAATATTAATATAAATAATTTTCTGCATTAACTTTTTCATTAATTTATTTAAGATATAATATCCCTTTAATTAATTTTGACATGAAATTATCATTAATATAAAAGATGATGTTGTACATTGTTTTTTCACATTTGCCGTAACAGATATTTAATATAATATGCTAAATATTGTGACTATTTCAGTTCTTTTTTTCTAATTTTAAATTGAATTATTAATGATGACATATTGTTTTTAAAATGTTAAATATTTAATGAAATTAAAAAACTATCTTTTTATGGTTCTAGTTTACTTTAACATGATTGTATTGATTAGCAGTTTTTATTAACTAATAAAGATTTAAAGAAAATATAAAATACTGAACTAACTTTCTTCTATCTCTTGGAGAATCAACACAGAAACAGAATTTACATACTAAAGCAGCTGCTTTAAAATTGGAATTAATAAACAATTCAGAACACTCTGTGACAGTGGATTTTGTAGCTTTAAAATTTAACTATTTACAGCACAGAATTAAATGAAAGTTACTTCCATCCACCATCCTAACATCAGAAGACTGGAAGATATGATTCTCACTCATTCCCGTAATCTTTGCTGGTAGCATAACATATAAATTGTTAAAACTGTCTAAGAATTTTCCTTTTAGAATACTGGTGATATATTTGCTCACACTAAGCAGCATGTTGTAACAATAGAGATAGATGTTAAAATAAATAGAAGTCATACATACTATTGGAGAAGTAAGGAGGCAATACTTTAATATACAAGGATTGATCAAATGAAACCCATTCGAGTAAATTTATTAAGACAAACAAAACAGTATATTCATCAGAGCAATTATTAAACAGAGCAATATATTCAAGGGCATTATTAAACAGAGCAATATACGAGGAAACGGGATTGCACTTTTGTTTGTTAAAAAAAAGTCACCATAGGCATTCAGATACACATCCCAGTGCTTGGAAAGTTGACGGATACTGTCTGCAAAGAACGACATTGGTTGGTCTTTGAACCATTGGGTGACTTTCGTTCCTTGGATTCCACATCGGAGCTAAAGCATTGTTCCTTAAAAGTTTTTTTTTAAAGATGGAAACAAATGAAATTCGCATGTTATAGATCAGAGGGTAGGAAAGGTGGTGCAGAACCTCCCAACCTTTTTGTGCTAAAGCATCCTTCAGTGTTCATAAAATTGCATCACATGATAGCATGAACAGTCGCTTATTCTTTATGGCTTTATGCAACTTGTCCAATGTTACATTGTAGCAGTTGATACTGATGCTCACATGAGGGTCTTCAAAGTCCACCAGCAAAGACCTTGCAATGTCAAAAAATGCAGTTGTCATAACCTTACAGACAGAGACCTGAGACTTGAATTTTTGTGTGTTGGTGAGCCAGGGTGTTTCCATTGCACACTTGCTCATCTACTGGTTGGCTGAAAGTGGTGGCACCACATTTTGACCTTGGATGGATTTCGATTAACTCTGACCCTATTTTTACTATTCTATGCCAAAAAGAAAATGTGCAAAACAACTGATCTTCTCTTTGCTTGTTCATTGGTATATGCTTTCATGCCAAATGTGACATCATTCCTCTTTCCTTGCACCAGAGCACATGGTATGGCATGAACAGGTTTCATTTGATCACCCCTAATATATTGGGACAACTGAACAAAATTTGAATAAGCTTATTGCAGAACATCAAAGAGACATATAGTACTGAGGAAGAATGACAGCTTTAGCATTTTAGATTCATGTGCAAATTACCAACCAAAATGGGACAAAATGAAACTTATTTATGGCACAAAATCAACTATTTTTATTCTTGACAGAGGCATTATGTACAAAAACATTCTAATGTGTGTAATGTTTCCACGTTCAAAACATTGAATATGCTATTATATTGACAAAAATATAATGTTTTTTATTTTATTTTATGAACATTTGCACCATTCAAACTCAAGTAGTTGAATTTGATTCATTTTAGAACAGTGTCAAGTGAAGAAGCTCAGGTTGTACATGAGCAAAAGTGCATTTAATTAATGAATTCGGTTATTTTAAAAAACTATTTAATATTATGATTATGTGAATTTTGTTTTTGTTAAACATAAAATATATATATTTTTAAACTTTGTTAATATATTTAATTGTAGAGAAAAATATTACTGAATGAATTCCAAATGTTTAGATTAAATATTTATATTAAAGTTAGTTTGATAGTTTAAGTTTATTTAATGAAAATATGTAAGTATTATATTGTGTTTTAACTGAAAATTTACAAGGAGTTTGAATTAAATTTAACTATTTTTACTTTTTTAGCAAGTTGTACTTCAACAACTTCAAACATCAAATGCTTCGACAACTGCAAATGTTTTTCAAAGATCCGTCAGTATTCCGGTTGTCAAAACCGTTTCTGCGACAGCAACTACAATAACTCAAAAGCAGTCGAAACAAACGGTGTCACCTTCTGTTCAAGGCACATTACTTTTAACAGGAAAAGTTTCAACTACAACAACAACAGGTTAGTTTATTGCATAAAGTAATACAAAAAGACAACATATCCCAAGGATTCTCTTCATTTGAAGCTATAGAGGTTTACTTAAAAATATATATAATTTTTCAAGTCTTTTTTTTTCCTCTCCTTTTTCAGACCAAAGAGGTAACAGTCAGTTAGCTCGAAGAAATAAAAAATCTTCTTAAGACATCATAAATAGATTATTAAAAAATTACCACAAAGTTAAAAAATTATCAAAATGCCAACCTTTTATTAGAGGCTACAGCTCTTTAACAATAAAAACTTTATGCAAAGTATTTTCTAATTATCTGAAAAGACCACCAGAAGCAGTTAAAAATGCTACAAGACACAGGAGATATTGTGAAAAATTTTTTAGCATCATTTTTATTGTGAAAGCACCATAGCCTCTAATAAAAGGTCAGCATTTTGATCATTTTTTAACTTTGTGGTAATTTTTTAACAATCTATTTATGATGTTTTAAGAATATTTTTTATTTCTTCAAGCTAATTGACTGTTACCTCTTTGGTCTGTGAAAAAAGGAGAGAAAAAAAAGACTCGAAAAATTATATATATTTTTATGTAAGTCTTTATAGCTTCAAAAGGTTAATTTAGTATTATTAAACACTATAAACATAACAGTTTTGTATGAAAAAAAATTCTTCTTTGATTTGAAATATTAAATTCTAAAATAAAATGTTAAAAATTTATATCTCATGAACAATACTTTATGATTAGAATGATATTAATCATAATTAATTTTGAAATAAGTTTAATAAATTTAGATTAATTATATTATTTTACTTATATAATAATAAATAAACTTTATTGATTTAGCTTTTTGTCTTTACAAGGAGGAAAGGAAGCAAACAAAATTCTGTAAATATACAAAACATAATATATATCTTATACAAAAACATAATGGATACATACTGTACATAAAACAATATATATTTAGTCACTTTTATAACTACTTAAAAGTGGTTTTTTGGACAAATAAATCAAAATGTTATGTCCTTTGAATCCAACACTCACCCAAATTCAAGAATATCTTAATATATATTTAATGACTGTAATAATTTAGCAGAAAAAGTCTTAACTTATGTGAAAGTTTAGATTTATATGTAACAAAAATCCAAAAAATCATTCAACTATTTTTTAATTGTAAATGGCTATATCCCTCAAAAGATGATTTCCTAAATTATTAATTTAGATGAGAGATGGTGCCTAACGTCTACCTCTAATACCAAATTACTTAACATCTAATCATTAATAATAGCATATTTATAAGCTGATTAATTATGGTGATCAATTGGTTGTGTATCAATGTTGTAGTGATATTGGACTACTCTTTCTCCCCAACTGTGGTCTTGTCAGTCCATGTCCAATCCCTTTACAAGCAGTCATAAAGGTAATAAGCAAATGTAGACAAAGGGGGAGGGGGTATCTAAACAAGGGTAGACAAAATCATAAAAAAAAAGGATGAGAAAAAGGCAGGAAAACGAGAGAGTAGGTGTGAGAGGATGGTAGAGGGAGTGAGGAGTGGTGAAGTGGTGGAGTTCGAAAGTGGGATTAAAGATTAAAGTGTTTTTTTTTTTGTGTTAAGATATTTGGTTGGTCCAGTTCAGTGCGAAGAACCGGCGGGACAGAATTCGTTAATTCAGATAGGATTCTCTACAAATGTATTGGGCTTTGGGAACTTTATTTCCACATTAATATTAATTTATTAAAAACTAATTTTCTTAAAATCACTTTCTGGTAAATCAAGAATTTCAAAACAAATGAAATACACTCATCAGAAGGTCAATAACTAAGGGTGATCTACCCAATTCAGATCTTATCAAGGATCCAGAAACTGAACTCCAGAAAGGTTCAACTATGGTTTTTAAATTTAAAAACCATAGTTGAACCTTTTCTAATTTTTCTACAATATTAATGATCCAAATTGGAAACATAAAGCTTATACTATTGAGTCATAAAGTGTAAGATAATTCTTAACAAAAGATAGTTTTTGTTAACAGTTTCATTATATTTGACAATTTCAATTTAGAATTTAGCAATAATTTTTTTGAAATGAAAGAAAAACAGTGTTTGATAAGAGAAATAATGCCCAAATATTTAAAATTTGATACCATTTCCAATTTTTTACTCAATAAATAGAAATTATTGGCTTTTCCAAATTTCTACAAAAATTTATTATTTTTGATTTAACTTCGTTAATTATCAACTTATTATTTTTACAATATTCAACTAGAATATTGAACTTCAATTGATGAGTAACAACAGAATTTGATAGCAAGAAAACATTGTCCGCAAACAAAAGACAGTAAACTCAATTTGTGAAGATAATGCTATACCCATAATTTATTTGTTTTTGTATAAATGCCAGAAGATTATTTGTGAAACAGATTAAAAAAGAATAGGACTTTGGCCTCCCCTGAGATAATCCTTTGTTTGATGCCCAAGAATAATAAAACATTTTAAATAATGCATATAGTGTTAGAAAATAGCTGTTTAAATAAATTAATAAACCTGATAGTTGGGCTGCCTTAAAGACATGTGACTCTTATTGGATTCCCTCAGCACTTGTTTTGGAGTACTGTTTGCATCTCAATGAGTTGTGTACCCATTAAAGGTCTTTCTCTTGTGGGTGCCAGGACATGAGGATATTGTTGGCAATGTAAGTACTGATTTAATGGTCAAACAGGATCTTTCATATCCCTTTGTAGAGCCCAAACCAGTTCTTACTATTTCTTGTGACACTTTCTTTAGAAATGTTAAAGATTGGACTACCTTCAATCAGTCTAAGTAGTGGAGATTAACAATTTGTTTAAAGCAGAGCAAGACTTTTTGTCTAGCCTGCTCACTAGGCAAACTAAATTTTTCCTGTCCTTTGACAAGAATTGTGTTTGGTTTAATAAACAAATTAGAAATACCTGACTTGTTGAGTTTCCACCATAAGATACCATAGTCTGTAGAGTCAAATTCTTTCATCAGATCAACAAATCTTACATATAACTTGTGGTATTTCATAGATATCAGTAAATGAATAATTTCATGTAAAATAATCATAACCAATGCTTTAATTTTTCAAAATGCTCCCTGACTAGGGATACAATACTGAAATTCTCTATCCAGAGATTCAGTTCACTAATATGAATTTCTAAACATATTAATTAAAGATATTGGTCTATAATTTGTTGGCAAAGACCTGAGAGCTTTCTATATGCGAATAATATAGTACTTTTGTGACACCATAGGATAAAGGTTAGGTTTATTAGTATCTTATTAACATTACAAGATTGTGTTTTTCTTTTACTTTGGTGTGTATGTATTAATTATTAAAATAATATATTTGATTTTTGTTATAATGACTGCTATAAATTCCAAACATAAGAAAAAAATAAAGATTTATTATGTTATAAATTAAAACCTTTTGAATTGATGACTGAAATTTTCAGTGCCTGTTTAGAAAACATTAAATATGAGAAATATTCTATTATTTGACATTATTTTTTGTGGAAGGTACTTACGATATTAGTAGAATGTGACATTTGAAGTAGAGTATAATATTTACATATATGAAAGAAAATTATATTGTACGTATCGTCTAATATGTGATCACTTAATTCATTTATTTATTATATATTAACAAATTTTGGGGATATTTTAGATATATATTTTATTTAAGAATTAATAATTAAGCTAAGGAATTTGTTGTGTCATTTTACTGTTCTTTATGCATTAAATTAAACAGTTTTCTCAACATTCAGAATTCTAAATATGAATTTTATTACTATTTTTAGGTCAGAGTCATCCATTGAACGTGCCTATTGCAACTGTAGGCACAATAGCAAGAACCCGTCCAAAAACTTTACCTCCGCCGAGACAATCTATAAGACCGAGAAGTAGCGTTTTGTCCATAAATCAAAACAGAATGCAATTTGTTGGGCAGAATTTTACAAGTCAGTTACCAACTCCAGTAGCCAAATCTTCATTACAAATTGGTACACCTATTCAAGTAAAACAAGTGTCTTCTGATGGAAGAACAGTTCAAATTCGACAAGAAGGAGGTTAGTTTATGAAAGAAATTTAGATTAAGATTTGTTTAATAATTATTATTTTACCATTTCTTAACTAAATATTTCTGTCACTATTTTATACATATTGTTCGACATATATAAAAACAAGTGTCTTCTGATGGAAGAACAGTTCAAATTCGACAAGAAGGAGGTTAGTTTATGAAAGAAATTTAGATTAAGATATGTTTAATAATTATTATTTTAATTATAATACAGAGTGCAAATTGGATTACAGGAATGATCGGATTTTCCTGTCTGAGTACACTATGATGTTTTTATATAAGATTTACGTAACTTTGTGTAACCTAGCAACCACATCCGGTTGCTAAGGGACGAGAGGAAGAAGATTCCTTCCCACTCTCTTTATTTTACTCCTGTTTCCGCATCCAGTCAACAAAATTTGAAAATTTTCTTCCTTTTTCTTCTTTAAACTTTCATAAAAATCGATAGAAATATAATAATAATTGAATATAAATAAAATCAAATTTTCCTAGAGAATTTCGAAATTTTATTTTCTTCGTAAATTTAATTNTTATTTTTTGTAAAGATACAAGAAATTATATTTTTTAATCAAAATTTCAGCTGTAATTCTGTGTAAAGTAATTGTGAACTGCATAAATTAATTTTTTGCTGCATTAGATTTAATGTCACTGTAAGTATCTCACAGTATCTGGGTAACTTAGTGGTATAAAATTATATATTGAGGGCTAATCAATTAAATACAGAGTGCTGAAAGAACCATCTGTATTTAATTAATTAATACACGTTTTTCACTGTCAAATTAATAAATTATGTAAGGCGTAAGGTATTTTTATATAAAATTCAGAATAACTACTTTCAAAAATGCTTTAATTTTAGAATTGTTTTAATGAGAAGTACATAATTTAAAGATATGTACAAGAAAAACAAAAAACCAAGTACAATAATAAGTAAAATTATACTTTGAAGCATATGTTTGAATATGCATATAGCAAATAATTATTCCCTATGTATTTAGAAAAATCTTAAACATGATTTTATTATTGTTAAAGTATGAAATTTATTTTATAGAACTGGTTATTTTTAAGGTGTAAAAATAGTGGCACAAGGATTACCTGTAGCAGCCAGTAAAATTTTGCCAAAACCATCCACTTCTCCCATCGTTATGGTGTCTTCGACTCAAGGTTCTAATGCGTCTAAATTTTCAGCCTCTTCAACAGGTGAGCATGTTATTTTTATTACTAATAACTTTTCTTGTGGACATTATGAATCTTATAATTGTCAAAGATAACTTTTGATTTAGACATTGACTTTAAAAGAATATGCCTGCTTGGTTATCTATTTATTTCTTTCATTTTTTTAAATAAATTTTTAAAATATTTTATCTAGGATTACTTAAATACAGCTGTCCCTTGATAATCCAACAGGAAGGGGTGTCGGATTACCAAAAGTGATTACATATTTGGCATTGTTTTGCTGTAGTAGCCTATTCCCTACTCCAATTGTTCGAACAGAACTGCTCACGGAAAACACACAAAATGTGTGTCATTGTGTAAGAATTGGGTGGGGAGATTCACGTCACGACATGCTTCTGTGCAAGCAGACACAACATGGACGGGTACCTTGACGGGAGGTGCGTCGGACTACTGAGCATGTCGGATTACAAAACGTCGGACTATCAAGGGACAGCTGTATATTATAGTGAATCTAGAAAGAAATTTATGTAAAGCAAATTCAAAATCTTGCACATTTCTGAGAACATCATCAACATACTTTCAAATCATATACAGTAGAGCATTGATTATCCGAACGTCAATCAACCAAAACGCCAATTAACTGAAAGCTTTCCAGTCGGCAAATTTAAATTTCCACTAGTGCTGTGGCACTGCAATATTTGGCTATGTCTTAGGCTACTCCGATATTATTTTTGTTGCTGTGTATGTTTTAGCTGGCAGCACTGGTGTGACCACGAGAAGATATTTAAGGATGTGCCAGGATTTGAATGAATTTCAACAAATGGATAGATTAGTATATTTTTCGTACATAATCGGTTATCCGAAAAAGCAATTTTCCAAACAACTCCAGTCCCCAATTGATTTGGATAATTGATGCTCTACTGTACTATGAACATAAGTATAAAAAACATTGCAAAGCCCAATATGTATATAGAAACATGATTGCCTAAATAAGCGAGCTGTAACTTTGCTAATTTTTAATAATTAACACTAAGTAATTTGCTACTAGTGGTAGACATTAGGTGCCATCTCTTAACTAAATTAATAATTATAATTTTAATAATTTATTAAATAATTTAGAACCATCTAGAAGAAAGTAACTGATTTGGGGCCAGGCTCGAACCAGCAATCTACACTTGCTGTGTGGTCCGCTTGCCAGTTGCACCACTTGGACCCGGTGCAAGCCTTTGCTTCCAGATTATTTAAATTTAGATATAACCTTTCACGGTTAATCACAGCACTGACTGGGGATAACTTCTACGCCCATGGCCTAAATATAATTCCACAACGGCATTCAGCCAGCTTACATTTTACTCAGTGAGGTATATATATATATATACAGTAGAGCATTGATTATCCAACTCAATTTTCTATTGTTAAAAATTATTTCTTTATTTTTCACAAAACAAATACAGTACTGTACTGTATATTGAAAAATATTAAAAAAATATATACAGTATTCGGGTTACATATTTTACATAAAGTAGGCCTATACATTAGAAAAAGAAGTCCAAAATTTATATTTCCGATGAAAACAGATTCCGATTCGGCACAATGCACAGTCCTCAGAAAAATCCACACAAAATAAACAACCACTTATTATTAGAAAAATAAGTCACGTTTAAATACTGGCCTCCCTTTCATGGCCAAGCCAGTGTTGCCAGCTAAAACACACAAAAATTTAACAAAAATAATATTAAAGTAGCCAAGACATAGCCAAATATTGTAGCGCCACATCACTAATGGACATTTGAATTTGCCGACTAGAATGCGGTTGGTTAACCATGTGACGGTTGATTGGGGGTCAGATAATTGATGCTATACTGTATATATATATATATATCCCCAGCTCCAGGTCTGGGTGGCGCAAGCGGCAAGCAGACCACACAGCAAGTGGAGGCTGCAGGTTCAAGCCCAGCCCTGAATCAATTCTTTTCTTCCAGGTGGTTTTAAATTATTTAATAAGTTACTGTATTAAAATTATAATTATTGATTTAGTTAAGAGATGGCACCTAACATCTACCTCTAGTAGCAAATTACTTAGTATTAATTATTAAAAATTAGCAAAGTTACTCGATTATTTAGGTGATTGTTTGGTGATGTTTCCATATACAATGAAATTCATTTATTTTAGTATATATTCTAATAAATATTTGATTAACAAATCCAAACAATTTTATTTTAAATTATTAAGTTTATAAATAAATGCTGCCAATTTGATGACAGTATATTAAACTCTTGTAACAACAACCCTTAACTCAATTTAATTAATTAATACCAAATGATCGGCCAAATTATCTGGCTATTTTTGGGCTATGTTAATGATTAGTTACTAATTAATTTGACTAGAGGTAGTTGGATATGCCACTATCTCTTTGTAATTTTAATAATTATAATAAATTAATTCTGAAGTTACTAGTGTAGCCTTGTGCATAAGAAAATAACAAACAAAATATTTTATGATGTAGTAATATTATATCGTTTGAAATACATCTATAAAATTTTAAATTTTACAATTAAATGAATACAGAAAATAGATTAAAAACTGAAAATTAATGAATGTTTCAGTTATCCAAAATCAAATTGGTACCAAAATGGTCAGTATAGCTTCGCCTCAAAACAACCAATCTTCAAACAAAGTCACCGCAATCGGAAATGTTTCATTAGTATCTCGTACTTCACAAGCATTCTCGACTAGAACTGGGTCGGCAGTTGTCCAGTCTCCCGGCGTTAAACCAAACGTAATAGTAGTTCATAAAGCACAAGTTTGGCCGCAGTCTCAAGGACAGGGAACGACTATTGTCGTTTCGGGAAATCCTGTTCCAAAACTCTCTACGGAAACTGTGGTATGTTCACTTGTTTTTAATAATTATTTTTTATATTATATTTTATATTTACTGTCATTTAAATTACATAGTCTAGTAAAATATATATAAATGAATAGTTCTTGATGGGAATTTATATTGATAATAAAACAAAGTATTACTGGATGAATATTATGTTGATGAGCTTCTTCATTAATTCTAGTTTCAACTACAGAATTTTTAGTAAATACTTTTTGTAGTATAGCCAAGTATACTACAAGAAGTATTTACTAAAAATTTTGTAGTTAATATGGTTCTAGTTAGTAAGAAAACAGTTAAAAATGCAGTGTTAACAAAAAATAGTTTAAGTTAGAGAAAAATAATAACAATTGTAATTATCAAAAAAGACTTTATTAGGCCTTATTATTTTAATCATTGTTATCTGTTCATTCTACGTTCTTCACTATTTATTGGACCATGCATGCTATTGTGACATTTTGATACGCAAAGGTTTATTTATTGCTTATAGAAGTATCACTTTGAAGTTCAGTTCTTCTTGCATCATAGCAAATAAACCCTTGTCATGTTCCTCAGCTTGCTGCAGTTCTCAGCAAAATTTTCTGATGTACCTTTTATTAAGTCAATAAAACTTGGATGAAAAGCATCAAATTCAGATCTGAAAGAAATAATCATCTATCAGATGTTTTTTATTTAATTTTCAGGTAAATATTCATTTTAATGTTATTAAGGTTAAGTGAACATACCTGCAATGTAGCTCATTCAAAACTCCATCCTTTGTTCCAAACTTGTACAGACTCTTAATTTCTTTCAGGCCTGACTTCTGTTAGGTCTCAAAACTGTCTTTGCCTTTGGTCAGAGAGTACATAGCTTCTCTATTATAAAGTTGACAAACTCACTTCCATTGTTGGGATGCAAAATACAGATGCGGCAAATGTTAAGAGATATCAGTTAACTGAAATGCAATCTTTTCAGCCCTCTTACTTTCGAGTACTCACAGTAAAACAAACTTGATCAAATAAGTTCTGTTAAACCATAATTAACCTTAAAACTTAGTCAGCTTGAGATTACATGTTGATTTGACAATGGCTGTTCATTTCTAAGTAAAGGATGGGTTTGAAAACTAAGCCTTTCTTTTTACTTCTTTTCTGTTGTCATGTTTTGCACATTGATAAAAAAATATTTATTATTTTGATTATTATACTGGAAAATTTCCTTGATGTTTCTGTTTTTAGTCTTGACTGCCATGCCCTACAGCTACACGAGCACTTTCAATAACACCAAATACTTCATCAACTGGCAAATAATATATTATGGGTTTGCCATTTGTAATCAATTTTTTGTTTCGCCATTCCCAGGAACATCAAATTTTTCCGGTCTTTGATATTGAGAAAGAACAGGCAAAGTAACTTCTTCAGTCTCTGCCAAAAGCTTATGTTAATCATTCGTTGTCATTACATTACAGTTGCTCTCTCTCTCTATTTTTTTTTCTAAAGTAAGAAATTTCTCTGTGAAACACACTTTTTGCCTTCTCCTTGGATACTTCTCCCATTGTATTGCATCAATTACATAAAATAAACATATTATACACAGTAATTATTATTAATGAGTTTCTGTAGACTTTTTAAATGCACAATAAACTAAAACTGAGTTATGTGCATTGAACATAACTTTCAGTGCACATCACTCAGTGGCAAGCAGAAAATTGACAACTTATAACTTAAATAACTACTAGTAGGAGATTGTTGACCTACAGAACAGAATAGCAGTTTATTTTGACAAATAATGGGTAGAAATAGTGTAGAATTGGTGCTAGTCTGAACTGGTCTAAAACACTTTTAACTGATTTATTTCATTAAGAACAAGTTTTGCATAGTAAAAACTAAATACTTCAGAAATGTAGCTTTTACTAATGGCAGACAGTGAATTCTAGATTTAACTAATTAAAACTAGAATTAATAACAAAGGTATTTTGTTAGTATTAGTTTTTCCTAGTAATTTTGTCTTCTGAAGGATTTTGGATTATGACTAACATATATACTAATCTCAATTTTTATTAATATTGGGTTGTTTGGAAAGTAAGTTCGTTTTTTTCTGTGGAAAAAAAACAATATTTTTATAATAAATAAATATTTTATTGAATTATATATCAACCATTTTGGTCAAATACCTCTTTTCATTGTTTCTGGTATTAGCATGATTTCACTTTTATAAAAGTTTTGATCGTTGCTTACAAAAACTGATCCAAGTGATTTTTGACATTGTCATTTCAAGTAAATGTCTTACAGTTAAAAATAATTTGTATAGACTGGAACAAGTAATAATCTGAGTGTGCTTGATCTGGCAAATATAGTTGGTACAATAGCATGTCCCATCTAAGTTATAACAGTTTCTGACAAGTTACCAAATTTGTGTGAAATTTGACATTATCGTGGTAAAACACTACACCTGTTTTGTTGATCAGTTCTGCCCACCTTTTCTGTGTGATGATATTACTCAATTTATTTACTCGATGGCAGTACACTTTCGAATCAATTGTTAAATTGTCTGGTAAAAGCTCCAAAAAAAATTTCCTTAAAATCCCACCAAAGAGAGCATCTCTCTTTAAGAACACGTGGAACCCATATATCGAGCTTTGAAACGAAACCAATTTGTTTCAACTAATCATAAACGGTTCAGTTTGAGAAATTTAATCTCTTAGTGATTTCACGTGTTGTTATTTGGCAGTTTGCTTCAATCAGTACCTTTATTTTGTTTTCATTGCCTTCAACTGGCCATCCAGAACATGGTACATCTTCAATATTAAAATTTCCAGAATAAAATTTTGTAAACCAGTTTTGGCACTGTCTTTCTGTCAACACATCATCTCCGTACATGTACCACAATTTTTTTCTAGCTTGAACAGCATTTTGATTTTTTGGTAATAAAAAAACCAAAATATGTCGAAAATGATGCTTTTGATCTTCCATATTTGATGGGACACAAAAAAGAAACAAATTGCACAAAATCGAACAAAATTTTTTACAAATAAGCCTTAAAATGCTAGCTGTCAAAATATAGAATGATAATACGGTTTAGAATAAAAATGGCGGGAAAAATACGACTAATCTGTCTAGTGGTAAAAAAATGAACTTACTTTCCGAACAACCTAATATATAAACATTAATTAATTATCATCTAAAAAGTATTTCACCTTTTCACAGTAACATGCAAATTAATAGACTGTGGAAAAGCATATTATTCTGAATCAGTTGGTAGATTAATTCAGTTTAATATTTTACATACAGCTTTATTTATGTCATAATTTCATAAGTACAGTGGTACCTTGACTTATGAATGTCAAGTATTTCGAAAAACTTACGAGTTTTTCGAAATACGAGCCGTCTGTTGGCTGATGTTTTGTTTTGAGTTGAGAGCTAAAATTCAGGTTACAAGACAGCTTCAGATACCCCACCACTAGTTGGCATAGTGAACGCCACAGAAAACCATAGATTAAAGAAAAAAAGATGGAAAACTGCCATAATTTTGTCATTTTCATTACTCTTCCAATGTCTGATATGCTAGCTTATAGAAAACACGTATAGGCATTAGTTCACTTCCATGTTGTGTTTGGTACCACCTCTCTCATTTCTTGAATTTTCCATGTTTTCATTCTTTATCTATGCAGCAAACACACCAATTTGCAAAACCAGTTTATTGCAGTGCATTCTATTGTATTTTTATACAGTATTTGTTAGTACATTTTTCTTATTTAACAACATGTAACAAAAAAATTGCAGTGTTTTGGAGGTCTGGAACAGATTAACAGCATTTCAATCCATTTCAATGGGAAAAATTTATTTGGCATATGAGTAATTTGAGGAATGAATTAAACTTGTAAGTCAACATACCACTGTATTTATAATAATTATTTTTAGATGAACATTATATGAAATTTTGAGGCACAAGTTTACGTATCAAAGACAGATTTCATATATTTTTGATTTCTTCAAATCTATTATTTAATATTAAAACCCAACAAAATATAAGTTTGGTAAGTCCAATTTTTCATTCTTAACAAATGATTTTGAAACTGTTACACTTGAAAAACATAGTATATAATGAGCAATTATTTATTGTGACATGGTCACAATACCAGGTTGCAATTTTTAACCATATTTTTTAAATTTATTTAATTTAAAATATATGCTCTCCACCTCAAATTAGTAGTGGCTTGCCCCCATACATCATACTTTAACTTTAACAATAGAGTTGTGCCGGTCATCTATTAACTCCTTTGGGGGAAAAGTTTTGAATTGAAATAATGTGACTTTTGGTTTGCATCAGAAGTTTGTGTATAGTTAATTGGACCTGCTGCCCCTAAGGTTTCCGTAGTTGATCTCATCTTTCGTCTATCTAACTCCATTCTCAAGATTTAGAAAAGATGGCCAGATGGATAGATGACAGTGGGAATTTATAGGTCTGCAATTTTTTCAAATTGCAGCTCAAAAAGTCAAATTTTTATTCTCCAAGTAATATATGTAGGTTATGTATTTTTCATTGGATATTTATGCCATTACAGTAAAGATAATATTTTTTTCTATACTAAAAATGATATACATTAAAAATACATGAAGAAAGTAAATTTGTCTTCACATCACCATCATGTCCAATAACCAGCAACAAACAGTCCTCCTTTACGCCCTTTTTTAGAGGCTATGTGTCAGAGATATGAAGATGTATTTAGTTTCTTCCATATATTTTTAATGTGTAAAATACCATCAGCCATTTTAATTTAAAATGATATAATTTGTTTTTTAAATAATTTATACTTATAACTTAATAAATTATATTTAAATTACAATTTCTGTGAACTAAGAAAGATTTTTTTTTAATGAGATTGGCAAAAAATAACAACAGTCTATACAAAAAAATAATTATATGGTAGAGTCTCTACAGTCCATCACTCACTGGTCCAACATGTCTAGTAATCTGATACTCTGCAGGGTGGCATACATAAAATTTTTACATTATCCTTAGTCAATATATGCAACAGAGAAAGACTGATGTACCTGTATAATGTCAGTTGCTAGTTGTTTATTGCATGTGCAATTGGCAAAACAGTCACAGTCGTGATTAATATGATAAACTAACCTGTGAATCGAGTGTATTTTTTACTGTGCAGTATGCACATATATACAAAATCCAGTTATCCGACAATCTGCTGTAATCCAACACTTCCAGTCTGATATATGGTGGATTACAGAGACACTATTCTTTAAGTTTCTTATGTAAATTTTTATAAATGTTATTTAACTATATAATTTTCATTTGTTCAGATTAAGTTATTTTTCATATTTTAGCAGGAAACAGTTACATATATACAAAAATCAGAAGGCGGTAGAACAAATTCGTCACCTGCGGTTGTATCAGTTTCTTCATGTAACCCAGCAAATATTTCCGCATTGAATTCAACAGCCATCACTAATTTCGAACAGTCGGAAAAGAATGAATCGAGTACAGTAAATCAAGAAAATAAAACTACGTTAAATGTAAATTCTAAACAAGCTGATGAAAAAGTAAGTTTAATAGAATTTGATCATTAATATTGTACAATGATTTATTTTAATACACCTGAAGTAGATTATTAATTATCTATAATTAATGCAAAAAAACAACCTCATATAATTGTAATCTTAATTAATTTATCTTTTACATAAAAATAAACAAAACTTTAAAAAAGAAGCTTACATTTGAATATTGATAATTACAAATTATGTGCAAGTATCATATATTAGTAGCTATTTTTTTATAATACTTTATTGTAGCATTGATTTTTAATAGCTACTTTTCTTATCTGCTTCATTGTACAGTACATTATTTTTAATCAGTGTAGTTATCTACAAAATTTGATAATCTGACAATTAAACACAGGTTACAAGATGCTCTCAAGATGATTCAGGTTACTATAAATTGAGATTTTACTTAAATTCAGGATACAAGATTAAGCTAAAAAGAAATGGAACTTGTTGCTTAGCAATGCATTCGTATTGTTTATGCTAATATCACTTATATCAAGCTGTGGTTACATATCCATGTTTTGCTGTGATCCTTTGACAAAAAAGATCATGTCGCTGCTCCATCTCAATGAGAGTTCCTAACAGAAAACAAGTGCACAACATTGGAACTAGTATCTTATTTGTTATATCTAGTGCTGTGATATTTTATTTTATGAAAATTAAAATTTATTTCAAAAGATGATGATTTGAAGACAGCATACATTTGGAAGAAAACGATTCAAATTATCTTAAATGTGACAAATTCTCGGAGAGGTAAAATGCTGTGCGATTTAAAGAAATATCAGTTTAAACCTGCAAAATTAGATTGATAGAAAAATTTTAATATCTCATATCAAATTAATCATATTAAAAAATAAAATAAATAAATTGAAATGATGTATTTTCATATTTATATAAGAGATGACAATAAATGAATTACATTAATTCAAAATGTCATGTAAACCAGTGGGTTTTTATTGGACAATGATAAAAAGCAAATACATCATACTGCATATGTACAATTTTTTTTTTTATTAAAATAAATTAACTTAGTAACAAAATCAAAATTAGGGTTTTTTAAATAAATATATTAATATATAAAATAAGTATACTGAATGAAAGAATCAATATGATTGTTATTTTTCTCATTAAATAACATGTTTGATTATCAGAAATGACTGCAAAACTTAGAGTAGGATTAGCAGTTAATCCATTTCTTTGATTAATGTAAATATACTTACTATAAAATATCTGTTTATATCAGAATTTTGTATTATTTCTTCATACAGTTTCTTAGGGTTGCAATTTTCACGCTGTTAAAAATTTTCCATAAACTCATCCTAATCTTCAGATTAGTATTAGGTATATGAAATTTAAAAATATGTAGGCATTTACTTAGTTTTGAATAAATATCTTTGGTGCCATCAGTTATCTAATTAGCATATAGATTTATAGAATATCAAATAAATATAAAATATTCTATGTAGGAAATACATGTAAACGAAATAATCTATGATTTTGTTTATAGGGAGAAATAGACAAGAAAAATAATCTTCTAGCTGATGTAATTGAAGCTAGTGGGATCTTGTCAGATGGCACAGAATCATTTCCTCCATCTATAAATGCAAAATCTGCATTGTCTAATCAGGAAGAAAAAATATCGGAGGAACTAGAAGAACCAACTGAAACGGTTGTGATTGAAAAAGGTAGTATTTAAATTTGTGATGATTTGTTGTGAATTGACAGCATGTACTTTCTTTTATGTTTCTAGTAGCTACACTTTCAAATTATTTTATTACAATAATTAAGAATAGTTCGGAATATACTTCATACATATTCCTGAGTTTTTTTATGTATTTAATTTAAATTCACATCTATTTATTAAAATTTGGGGACCCAAACTGCAAGAAAAAAATGGTTCCGTTTCGGTTTTGGATACCTTTAGAGTTTCCATTTTAGTTTCTGTTTGAGTTCAGTTAATCTGATCTGCAAAGAACCAGTAACTGGTGATAGTGGTTCAATTACCGATTGATTAATGAAAACAATAAAATACTAATTTAAAATTATCACATTACTGTTAAGAGATTCTAGAGAGACATTCATCGATGAAAAGCGTAAGAAAATTTTTATTAAATAATCAAAAATCATTATTTTAGATACAGATTAGACAAAAATGACTTGAACAATACATGTGTACTGACATTACTGACATCTTTTTATTTGATAAATTTAAAATTATATTGATTACCAAATAATAATGTCTGTAAATTTTTCAAAACGTCTTACTAACATTACATTGTTTAGTACTTTAGATATCTTATTTGTATACTAAGACAATAGAATATATTTGAGTCTAGTAAATGGTCTTTCTACGCTCACTTGTATTGCAGGAACTGCTAGGCAATCTTAGAAAGAAGATATAAAAAAAATGATTTTTCTTTCTATTTTGATAGTTTAATAAATTTGTATTTTCTCTATCTTTTATTTCATTCATAATTTACTAAGTAGAAGTGCCATTCGTTAGAAGAAAAAATTTTTTGTTAGATGTTTGTAATTTTTTCCAATTTCTGAGGGATTTGAGTCTGTTGGACCTACTTCTTGGCTATAATTTAGTCTAATTAATTTCTATGATCTAATGTTCAGTAAAAAAAATGTTTTGAAATATGACATGAAAATAATACTGAATGACATGCTGTTTTCATTTTATTATAAATACTTTGGCATTTTGTTTTTTTAAGTGAATTTCAGTATTTTGTTTCTTGACACTTTGATTATCTGATTTTTTTTATCATTTAATATTACTCTATCAGCATTTTAAAGTGTAACCAACTACAGGAAATCCTTATTAATTTGAACTTGGATAGTTTGAAATCCCATTAGTTTGTAACCGTACTTTTGTCTCGGTCAGAGATATTGACATTTATACATTAAGGAATTCGGTTAGTTTGAAATACGGCTACTTCAAAATCCGAAGTGAAAATTTTGTCTTAATCATGATATATATACATTAACTCATTTATATAGATTGAAGTGCCTCCATGCTATAAGGGAACAATAGACCAAGAACAACTCTAATCTGGTCAATGTGGTTTTGCTTTTACAGTAGTAGTCCATTTTCAAGTGTCATCTTATCCATGGAATACCCTTTTTTCTCTTATAAAATACAGTTGTTTTTAGGATTGCAAGATTGGGTTACGAGTAGCTGATTAAGATATTTGTAGGGCTCTACACTACTACATTTGGGTGACTTACTACTTTTTGAGTCACTTTAAAAATAATTTGGGCTGCATTTTGAGGAATTCACTTTACTTTTTATAAAACCTATCTGGCAACCAGTGAGGTTCTCACCAGACACTGGCTGTTTACCTTTACATTTGTGTTGTTATTACTTATTAATTAACAAAAATAGCAGTCTGTATATATAGCCTTAATCTATTCAATGTTGAAATTTTTATTTGTTGCCTGTGACGCCACGTTGAATTTTCATTGATGTTAAGCCTAAAAAATTTTTTTATGTTTTACAAATGAAATAAATATATTGAATAATATAGAAACAAAAAAATTATATCTTAAAAGTTCATTTTAATATAAAAATTGTGACACATAGCGACATCTAGTATCAAAAACGTTCAGATGTAAACACGAAAATATTCGGGATCGCCCATGCAGGTCAATGAGGTCAACACAAATATTTTCAGGAATAATGTAGGACAGGTTAATAAATTACACCAGTTACATGGTATTTGACATATTGTACAGATATATGTAAATCTTGGATAATTTGAAATTCAATAATTCGATAAGTTGCAATTATTTCATCCCTTGAATTTCGAACTAATGGTATTTCCTGTATACAATTTACAGTCACACGTATTTTTACCTTTCTATATTTATATATAAAATTAAACTATAGAAATTTGTACTTATAATTATTATCTAACAATTTTTAAAAGAAACATTCACTCGCTGCATGAAAAGTGTTGTTAGGGTAAGTGGGTCTGATCAAACCAATATTGGGTTTGCTATAAAAATGATTCTCTTAGGATCCACAGGGCAGAAAGAGAAAAAAAATTATGCATTTCATAATGACAATTGCCTATATATAATGTTCATTTTTGAACTTTTATTCACATTATAAAAGTCAGTCTTACATGTTTGTGTGTAATGTCTTATTATATGAATGTAAAGCAAAAGCCTGGAAAAATACACTAAAGGTGCATTACATACTAATGTTTGTTGTTATTGTACCAGGCTTGGACTTGACAGGTGTGGGCAAAAATAAACTATCATTACTAAAGATCAAATGTCAAAAGAATTACTATACATAATATAAAATATTCTATTTATTAGTAAAGCTCATATATACAGTTTAACAATGCTAGAAAATCTTTGTCTGGGGAAATGCAGTAGTCTATCCTTAACAAAATAAAATGCCCCAAAATAAATAGAATAACAAAGTAAAAATAATCCCCAAACAAAATAGAACAGTTCGGAATCGACTCCTTACATGTGTAAATTATTTCTAGTTATTTTTTAGATTAATAAAATAATTAAATTTTTAATTTAAATTAATTGAACTCCTGAAAATTCTGTTAATATAATCAATGAGAAATTTGTATTTACAAATTAAAAATTAAACAGTTTTTTAAAATTCAGTTCAACTTAAAGATTAAGAAAGACTTTAGTCTTTCTTAATCTTTAAATTTTATTAAAAGAATATAAATTAATTTGGATGTCTACGAAATGTTCAGGAATATTCTATATTATTCATTTAATATATTCAAATAAATGTTTTATTTCAAAATAGAAACGGAAGTCTTAAATGTCGAAGAGACATGGACTGATGAATCTAGGTTACAAGAAATAGCACCATTAGAAAATGATGAAAAACAAAACGAAGAAGTTTTAAATGTAGACACATCATTGAGTCTTGAAGATATTAATTTACCATTAAGTCAGTTGGAAGATGGACAGATACTAGAAATTCGTAAGTCTAACATTGAAATATTTTATATATTTATACAAAAATCATGTAATTTGAATTCTCAATTTATATCTTTCCAATATCAAGTAAATTCATAAAGTGAATAAAAGAAGAAATTATTTTAGTATATGTTCTGACTCATATCTGTTATAAAGAGACTTAGACTCTGGATATTGTAAGCTTATCAATAAAATAAGCTACTCAGTTACTACATGAATATATGAAATGAGTAAAATTAATTATTCTCAAGCTAAAATTCAACAATATGTTAGAAGATAACTAGTGAAATTTTTGGAGCACATTCAATGCTTCCTAAAAATTTGGCTAGTTGTTGAAGTATTTGGCATATTTCCAAATTGTATGGATTTGAATTCCACTAGACACCAAATTCATTCTTTGAATATGTGAATTTATATTACTTATTTGATTTACTTTGAGCATTAACTATTTATTATCAATTACTGGGGTGCTACAACAATACTTCAGGAGTGCCATGAGTGAGTATAGTGCTGAGTGGTGCCATAACACATAAATATTATCAAAAGTGCAATAATTACACATTGATAAAAACACATCAACTTCAATCTATCTATTGGGGTGTCAGTCTAATGACAATGAGTAAAAAAAATTTCTCATTGTTGGGTTTTGAGCGAATTTAAAAACTAAGACGCTCTTGTGTGTGTATTACTTATTTCTATTTCTAATTTTTGTAGTTGTTTTTGTGTTTTTTATCATAAAAATTATTGCTGTAAAGTTTATTCAGAAGTATTTTTTTGCAAATTTTATTATAAAGTAAAACAAGAATGTCGTTACAGATTGAAACAGTTAAAATTATTATTTACAGAGACACAAGATGATGCAGGTGTTCTTAGTGAATCTACAAGAATAACTAAAGAAATGTTGGAGCTTTTACAACAAGCTGGTCTTCATATACAAGAGATTGAAGTAATTGTGAATTTTGTATATTTAGCATTTTCATTTTTTATTTTATTTTAAATAAAAAATTTATTAACGATGCAAAAAAATTAGTTGTCATCGTAATGTAATTTTAAATTTGAAACACAAATAATTTTGAATCTTTTTTCATTGATAATAAATTAGGATATTATTCAGAATCAATTTTAAGTATAATAGTTTTAATTTTATATTGAATAAAAATGTGTTTCATTACAAAAAATATATAACAATAAAGATGGGAGGAAACTTCATTTTTGTTCTAGTCTCAAGGTTAATGAGTTGGGTCTAAAGGTTAATAAAAAATTTTCTGTTTGAAAAGATAATTAAACATATATATTTGTTTCCTTTTATAATTTATTTTCAAATTATCATTCAAAGTTATTTCATCACAGTGAAAACCCATTTAACAATTTTTTTATGGATGTTTAATAATATATTTGACATAATATTAAGTGGTTGATTGCTTAATAAACACAAGGCACTAGCACATTAGAGTTATATAGCTGCTCCAAATCAAATCTATTACAATGAGTCTGACTCAAAATGAAGTCAGCCAGCATAGGTGATGGTTAGTGTTAATGCTCCAACTTTACTGTTTTTATGTCTTTAGTTTGTTTTACTTAGTCCATTTTTGCCTAGGAAGATTCAGGTTCTGATTGATTTTGGATTTTGATGATTAATATATACAGTGGGTGATTGGTTAACGAACATAATCCATTCCAAGACCTTGTTTGCTATCTGAATTGTTCATTAACCAATTATAGATTTACCATAGATTTTTGTGGGAATTTGATTAATTCATTCTGGAGACCCCAAAAAATAAATAAGAAATTATGTACTTTCTTACTATGTTTATTTACATATAATAACAAACTAAAAGCAATCTCTCCATTTTTTCATGATGACACATCTTTGTTTCTCAGATGCAGTTTTTGTTACTCCTTTATCTGCTTGAGTTTTTTTTTTTTTTTTGATTATATCTTTCTTAAATAAGATTGTATCTACTGTAGATCTGTTGAAGTCATTTGCCTACAATATCAGACATCTTTTGCCCACTCTCTACCTTGGCTATTATCTCTTGCTTAGTTTCTATAATGAGCACAGTTCTTGACACACCACTCTTTTTAGGCCCCATAATATTATCAGTTTTTTAAATAAAAAGTTCAGAAAAGCACTTACAAAAATTCAGAGAACAGAAATTAACTAGTGCAAAAAAAGTTATGTATACAACTGTGAAAGTTTTGTTCCATANTTAAATAAAAAGTTCAGAAAAGCACTTACAAAAATTCAGAGAACAGAAATTAACTAGTGCAAAAAAAGTTATGTATACAACTGTGAAAGTCTTGTTCCATAAACCATGTATAGATGCCATAAAATATAGTCTTACAAATCTTAAACACAGCGTCACTGCTTCTTGTGTTTGTTTTCTGAACATGAAAATCTTTTGCGAAAGTGTTCATTGTCAGAACTGTTCGTTAACCGATCGCCCACTGTACTATAGAAATGATATGCAATAAAATTACTTAAATCTTGTACTAGAGGAGGGTAATAATACTAGTTTCTCTGTTCTAACATTGTGTAAATTTGTAGAAATATTCCTATTTATAGTCCAGCAATGTTAAATGAGAAAGGAGACAGTTTTTAAAAACTTTCACTATAATAAATATTTTTTCTTGTTTCACTAAATATTGCTATAGAGGAATTTGACTGTATTTTATTTACTAGTGGATAGTATAATGAATATGAATTACCAACTATTTGTGAATACTTTATTTTTTTTTAAATATCTCAGTAACAGTGATTTGTTTATGGAATTCCTATAATACTGGATTACTTAAAAAAATTTATATACTATAAAATTCAAAAATGAAAATACAAACAGTCTTTTAGGTGTTTAAGCAATTGTTTCTCTGTGCTTTTCTAACTTGGCATGCTGACAATTGTTCTTGACTTAATTTTAAATTATTTATTTTTTGAAGACTATGATCTTTTATTTTTGAATCATAATTCCCTATCAGTTTCAATGGCCACAGTCAATATTTCTAATGCCAAACAACCTGCTTTATTATTGGGCTTTAAGATAATTTAATAAGGGATTGTTTATATATGTATATATACACCATGCCAATGAAAGCAATAGCTGACTGAGAGTCATGGAGAACAGTAGACACTAAAATCATTTCCAGTCATTGACCAGTATGGTTATATCTAAATTTATAGTTCTGAAAGTGAAGATCGGATGGTGGTCCAGGTAGTATAATTGGTAACACATCTGCATGGTAAGCAAAAGTTGAAGATTTGACACCCACTCTGTGCTGATTCTTTTCTTCCGGAAATTTTAAGTTAGAATTATTATATTATAATTATTAAAATTATCATGAGATGGCAGCCTAACTGCCTACCTCTAGGCAAATTAAATGTAATTATTAATTTAGACCTATTTTAACCCAATAATATTGCAGCTCATTTGGCATTACTTAAAAATTGGGTTTCTGTATTGTTCATATACCAATATATTTTTTTACTGGTGTAACATTATAAAATGCTTCTTTTTTTTGAGCTAGAATTTAAGCTATAATGTAGCTTGGTTTATGATATTGTGCTTTGATGCTGGTTTCATTAAACCTACTTTGGCTATCAACTGGAAATATTTTTAATGACCTAAGAGACAAGAAATGAAGTCTTCTCTCATCTACTTACGTCTAGTAATTAATTTTCTATTTAATTATGTTTACCTGTAGTTATTGAGTATATTCAATTAAAACAGATCNGAAAAATAAGAGTGCCCACCAAGCAATAGGTAAGATCCTTGATTATGTCCGTGACGCCAAAAACGACGGGAAACACACGATGATGGTCTCGATTGATTTTAAGGGCGCTTTCGACCACGCGTGGTGGCCCGCCATCCTGACTAATCTCGCAAATCTCAACTGCCCACTCAACATCCATGAGCTCCTCAGAAGTTATTTATCAGGGAGGACTGCCCTAGCTATAGAACAAGGAACCATTAACTGCCTACCTCTAGGCAAATTAAATGTAATTATTAATTTAGACCTATTTTAACCCAATAATATTGCAGCTCATTTGGCATTACTTAAAAATTGGGTTTCTGTATTGTTCATATACCAATATTTTTTTTACTGGTGTAACATTATAAAATGCTTCTTTTTTTTGAGCTAGAATTTAAGCTATAATGTAGCTTGGTTTATGATATTGTGCTTTGATGCTGGTTTCATTAAACCTACTTTGGCTATCAACTGGAAATATTTTTAATGACCTAAGAGACAAGAAATGAAGTCTTCTCTCATCTACTTACGTCTAGTAATTAATTTTCTATTTAATTATGTTTACCTGTAGTTATTGAGTATATTCAATTAAAACAGATCATTTATACTTATTTAAAATTTAAATGCACAAAAAGTAATCAGTTGTTTTTCCCTTCCAAAAAATTATTCAATGAATGATTGAAAGGAAGATAAATCACAAAAAATGAAAATTAATTATTCTGTTTTAATTAAATATGTTTTTAAAAATATATTTTAATGCCTTTTTGTACTTTATAACAATAAATATAATTATAAACAATATTATATTAGGTTAAAAGTGATTTGTCAAATGATAGTTATCAAGGATCGGTGCCAGTTAAATCTACCAATGAGGAAGAAGCCGTCGAAATGAAAAATAAAGAGAGCTGCGAATTATTAAAACATGAAGATAATGATTCTTGTGAGAAACTAATCCTCTGTCAGCAAGATGAATACGAATCATCCGAAGTGGATAAAACCATCAATGAGTCCACCCAATCCAAAAATATCCAAAGTAATTTTTAATTTTTTTACTTTTTGGCAAAATAGGTTCATTTACCAAATTTTTGTCAAAAAATTAAATCCATTTTCTTAAAAAATTACAGGTAAGATTTATAAAATTAAAGAAGAAAAGTATTGTCTTCCTTTATCTGGTAACTGCAGTTGTGGTTGTTGTTGTTGTTGTTGTACCTGATCAAGGAAAACATTGTATAATTAGAACTTAAATTAATAATTCCAACTTGAGTTTTTCTAAATTATATGACTTTTTAATATATATTTTTCATTTATGTCATTCAACAGCCTTATCTATTCAAAATTTTTGATTGAGTTTAAAACTGATNAATAAATATAAAATATTCTATGTAGGAAATACATGTAAACGAAATAATCTATGATTTTGTTTATAGGGAGAAATAGACAAGAAAAATAATCTTCTAGCTGATGTAATTGAAGCTAGTGGGATCTTGTCAGATGGCACAGAATCATTTCCTCCATCTATAAATGCAAAATCTGCATTGTCTAATCAGGAAGAAAAAATATCGGAGGAACTAGAAGAACCAACTGAAACGGTTGTGATTGAAAAAGGTAGTATTTAAATTTGTGATGATTTGTTGTGAATTGACAGCATGTACTTTCTTTTATGTTTCTAGTAGCTACACTTTCAAATTATTTTATTACAATAATTAAGAATAGTTCGGAATATACTTCATACATATTCCTGAGTTTTTTTATGTATTTAATTTAAATTCACATCTATTTATTAAAATTTGGGGACCCAAACTGCAAGAAAAAAATGGTTCCGTTTCGGTTTTGGATACCTTTAGAGTTTCCATTTTAGTTTCTGTTTGAGTTCAGTTAATCTGATCTGCAAAGAACCAGTAACTGGTGATAGTGGTTCAATTACCGATTGATTAATGAAAACAATAAAATACTAATTTAAAATTATCACATTACTGTTAAGAGATTCTAGAGAGACATTCATCGATGAAAAGCGTAAGAAAATTTTTATTAAATAATCAAAAATCATTATTTTAGATACAGATTAGACAAAAATGACTTGAACAATACATGTGTACTGACATTACTGACATCTTTTTATTTGATAAATTTAAAATTATATTGATTACCAAATAATAATGTCTGTAAATTTTTCAAAACGTCTTACTAACATTACATTGTTTAGTACTTTAGATATCTTATTTGTATACTAAGACAATAGAATATATTTGAGTCTAGTAAATGGTCTTTCTACGCTCACTTGTATTGCAGGAACTGCTAGGCAATCTTAGAAAGAAGATATAAAAAAAATGATTTTTCTTTCTATTTTGATAGTTTAATAAATTTGTATTTTCTCTATCTTTTATTTCATTCATAATTTACTAAGTAGAAGTGCCATTCGTTAGAAGAAAAAATTTTTTGTTAGATGTTTGTAATTTTTTCCAATTTCTGAGGGATTTGAGTCTGTTGGACCTACTTCTTGGCTATAATTTAGTCTAATTAATTTCTATGATCTAATGTTCAGTAAAAAAAATGTTTTGAAATATGACATGAAAATAATACTGAATGACATGCTGTTTTCATTTTATTATAAATACTTTGGCATTTTGTTTTTTTAAGTGAATTTCAGTATTTTGTTTCTTGACACTTTGATTATCTGATTTTTTTTATCATTTAATATTACTCTATCAGCATTTTAAAGTGTAACCAACTACAGGAAATCCTTATTAATTTGAACTTGGATAGTTTGAAATCCCATTAGTTTGTAACCGTACTTTTGTCTCGGTCAGAGATATTGACATTTATACATTAAGGAATTCGGTTAGTTTGAAATACGGCTACTTCAAAATCCGAAGTGAAAATTTTGTCTTAATCATGATATATATACATTAACTCATTTATATAGATTGAAGTGCCTCCATGCTATAAGGGAACAATAGACCAAGAACAACTCTAATCTGGTCAATGTGGTTTTGCTTTTACAGTAGTAGTCCATTTTCAAGTGTCATCTTATCCATGGAATACCCTTTTTTCTCTTATAAAATACAGTTGTTTTTAGGATTGCAAGATTGGGTTACGAGTAGCTGATTAAGATATTTGTAGGGCTCTACACTACTACATTTGGGTGACTTACTACTTTTTGAGTCACTTTAAAAATAATTTGGGCTGCATTTTGAGGAATTCACTTTACTTTTTATAAAACCTATCTGGCAACCAGTGAGGTTCTCACCAGACACTGGCTGTTTACCTTTACATTTGTGTTGTTATTACTTATTAATTAACAAAAATAGCAGTCTGTATATATAGCCTTAATCTATTCAATGTTGAAATTTTTATTTGTTGCCTGTGACGCCACGTTGAATTTTCATTGATGTTAAGCCTAAAAAATTTTTTTATGTTTTACAAATGAAATAAATATATTGAATAATATAGAAACAAAAAAATTATATCTTAAAAGTTCATTTTAATATAAAAATTGTGACACATAGCGACATCTAGTATCAAAAACGTTCAGATGTAAACACGAAAATATTCGGGATCGCCCATGCAGGTCAATGAGGTCAACACAAATATTTTCAGGAATAATGTAGGACAGGTTAATAAATTACACCAGTTACATGGTATTTGACATATTGTACAGATATATGTAAATCTTGGATAATTTGAAATTCAATAATTCGATAAGTTGCAATTATTTCATCCCTTGAATTTCGAACTAATGGTATTTCCTGTATACAATTTACAGTCACACGTATTTTTACCTTTCTATATTTATATATAAAATTAAACTATAGAAATTTGTACTTATAATTATTATCTAACAATTTTTAAAAGAAACATTCACTCGCTGCATGAAAAGTGTTGTTAGGGTAAGTGGGTCTGATCAAACCAATATTGGGTTTGCTATAAAAATGATTCTCTTAGGATCCACAGGGCAGAAAGAGAAAAAAAATTATGCATTTCATAATGACAATTGCCTATATATAATGTTCATTTTTGAACTTTTATTCACATTATAAAAGTCAGTCTTACATGTTTGTGTGTAATGTCTTATTATATGAATGTAAAGCAAAAGCCTGGAAAAATACACTAAAGGTGCATTACATACTAATGTTTGTTGTTATTGTACCAGGCTTGGACTTGACAGGTGTGGGCAAAAATAAACTATCATTACTAAAGATCAAATGTCAAAAGAATTACTATACATAATATAAAATATTCTATTTATTAGTAAAGCTCATATATACAGTTTAACAATGCTAGAAAATCTTTGTCTGGGGAAATGCAGTAGTCTATCCTTAACAAAATAAAATGCCCCAAAATAAATAGAATAACAAAGTAAAAATAATCCCCAAACAAAATAGAACAGTTCGGAATCGACTCCTTACATGTGTAAATTATTTCTAGTTATTTTTTAGATTAATAAAATAATTAAATTTTTAATTTAAATTAATTGAACTCCTGAAAATTCTGTTAATATAATCAATGAGAAATTTGTATTTACAAATTAAAAATTAAACAGTTTTTTAAAATTCAGTTCAACTTAAAGATTAAGAAAGACTTTAGTCTTTCTTAATCTTTAAATTTTATTAAAAGAATATAAATTAATTTGGATGTCTACGAAATGTTCAGGAATATTCTATATTATTCATTTAATATATTCAAATAAATGTTTTATTTCAAAATAGAAACGGAAGTCTTAAATGTCGAAGAGACATGGACTGATGAATCTAGGTTACAAGAAATAGCACCATTAGAAAATGATGAAAAACAAAACGAAGAAGTTTTAAATGTAGACACATCATTGAGTCTTGAAGATATTAATTTACCATTAAGTCAGTTGGAAGATGGACAGATACTAGAAATTCGTAAGTCTAACATTGAAATATTTTATATATTTATACAAAAATCATGTAATTTGAATTCTCAATTTATATCTTTCCAATATCAAGTAAATTCATAAAGTGAATAAAAGAAGAAATTATTTTAGTATATGTTCTGACTCATATCTGTTATAAAGAGACTTAGACTCTGGATATTGTAAGCTTATCAATAAAATAAGCTACTCAGTTACTACATGAATATATGAAATGAGTAAAATTAATTATTCTCAAGCTAAAATTCAACAATATGTTAGAAGATAACTAGTGAAATTTTTGGAGCACATTCAATGCTTCCTAAAAATTTGGCTAGTTGTTGAAGTATTTGGCATATTTCCAAATTGTATGGATTTGAATTCCACTAGACACCAAATTCATTCTTTGAATATGTGAATTTATATTACTTATTTGATTTACTTTGAGCATTAACTATTTATTATCAATTACTGGGGTGCTACAACAATACTTCAGGAGTGCCATGAGTGAGTATAGTGCTGAGTGGTGCCATAACACATAAATATTATCAAAAGTGCAATAATTACACATTGATAAAAACACATCAACTTCAATCTATCTATTGGGGTGTCAGTCTAATGACAATGAGTAAAAAAAATTTCTCATTGTTGGGTTTTGAGCGAATTTAAAAACTAAGACGCTCTTGTGTGTGTATTACTTATTTCTATTTCTAATTTTTGTAGTTGTTTTTGTGTTTTTTATCATAAAAATTATTGCTGTAAAGTTTATTCAGAAGTATTTTTTTGCAAATTTTATTATAAAGTAAAACAAGAATGTCGTTACAGATTGAAACAGTTAAAATTATTATTTACAGAGACACAAGATGATGCAGGTGTTCTTAGTGAATCTACAAGAATAACTAAAGAAATGTTGGAGCTTTTACAACAAGCTGGTCTTCATATACAAGAGATTGAAGTAATTGTGAATTTTGTATATTTAGCATTTTCATTTTTTATTTTATTTTAAATAAAAAATTTATTAACGATGCAAAAAAATTAGTTGTCATCGTAATGTAATTTTAAATTTGAAACACAAATAATTTTGAATCTTTTTTCATTGATAATAAATTAGGATATTATTCAGAATCAATTTTAAGTATAATAGTTTTAATTTTATATTGAATAAAAATGTGTTTCATTACAAAAAATATATAACAATAAAGATGGGAGGAAACTTCATTTTTGTTCTAGTCTCAAGGTTAATGAGTTGGGTCTAAAGGTTAATAAAAAATTTTCTGTTTGAAAAGATAATTAAACATATATATTTGTTTCCTTTTATAATTTATTTTCAAATTATCATTCAAAGTTATTTCATCACAGTGAAAACCCATTTAACAATTTTTTTATGGATGTTTAATAATATATTTGACATAATATTAAGTGGTTGATTGCTTAATAAACACAAGGCACTAGCACATTAGAGTTATATAGCTGCTCCAAATCAAATCTATTACAATGAGTCTGACTCAAAATGAAGTCAGCCAGCATAGGTGATGGTTAGTGTTAATGCTCCAACTTTACTGTTTTTATGTCTTTAGTTTGTTTTACTTAGTCCATTTTTGCCTAGGAAGATTCAGGTTCTGATTGATTTTGGATTTTGATGATTAATATATACAGTGGGTGATTGGTTAACGAACATAATCCATTCCAAGACCTTGTTTGCTATCTGAATTGTTCATTAACCAATTATAGATTTACCATAGATTTTTGTGGGAATTTGATTAATTCATTCTGGAGACCCCAAAAAATAAATAAGAAATTATGTACTTTCTTACTATGTTTATTTACATATAATAACAAACTAAAAGCAATCTCTCCATTTTTTCATGATGACACATCTTTGTTTCTCAGATGCAGTTTTTGTTACTCCTTTATCTGCTTGAGTTTTTTTTTTTTTTTTGATTATATCTTTCTTAAATAAGATTGTATCTACTGTAGATCTGTTGAAGTCATTTACCTACAATATCAGACATCTTTTGCCCACTCTCTACCTTGGCTATTATCTCTTGCTTAGTTTCTATAATGAGCACAGTTCCTGACACACCACTTTTTAGGCCCCATAATATTATCAGTTTTTTAAATAAAAAGTTCAGAAAAGCACTTACAAAAATTCAGAGAACAGAAATTAACTAGTGCAAAAAAAGTTATGTATACAACTGTGAAAGTTTTGTTCCATAAACCATGTATAGATGTGTGAAATTCGAGGTTTATATAATGTAATAAAAGCATTTAATCCTTTAAATTTTTAATAAATTCCTTTAACTAGAGGAAGTTGCACCTGCAGAAACGAAATTTGAGGTGCATGAGAAAATTATAACTCTTTCTATTTAACTATAAACATTCTCACGATCAATCCGTGAATAGTTTACAATTATCGACAAAATTCGTCATATTGTTGTCATTCTATCGCCACCTTTAATCTCACACCTGCTAAAACAATAGATCACCTGACGAATTTTCCCACCAAAAATGTATAAAAGCCATCCTCCTTCCCTTCTCGGGGGAGTCACCGATCGAATGTTCAAGAAGGACCTTCACTTCCCGTTGACCTGCTGAATTAATTAGAAGATCTTGTGCCAACTCGCACCTCCCTTCCGAAATAGCTGAAGTATCTGTCCGATACTATCACAGAGGTATGAAATATTATTGTAAACTCCCTCTCTCATCTGCGGAGTTTTGTAAAATTTTATTTAGTTAGCGCGTTAAATAAACCGTTGTTTGTTTTTAAATGGTGTCGTTACTCGACTTTGCTCACGCCTTATCATCGACCCCCTCCGACTCTCCTACACTCGCGTAATGAGTAACCGAACGTTACTACCATCCCTGACAAGAAAAGTAGTCACTGACCTGTGGCCGGGAGGAGAGGACTCTTCTTACCTCCCGGTGGCTCACAAATTGGTGTAGCAGGAGTGGGGTTTCGAACTAAAAACCCCTAGAAACATCACAGATGCCATAAAATATAGTCTTACAAATCTTAAACACAGCGTCACTGCTTCTTGTGTTTGTTTTCTGAACATAAAAATCTTTTGAGAAAGTGTTCATTGTCCGAACTGTTTGTTAACCGATTGCCCACTGTACTATAGAAATGATATGCAATAAAATTACTTAAATCTTGTACTAGAGGAAGGTAATAATACTAGTTTCTCTGTTCTAACATTGTGTAACTTTGTAGAAATATTCCTATTTATAGTCCAGCAATGTTAAATGAGAAAGGAGACAGTTTTTAAAAACTTTCACTATAATAAATATTTTTTCTTGTTTCACTAAATATTGCTATAGAGGAATTTGACTGTATTTTATTTACTACTGGATAGTATAATGAATATGAATTACCAACTATTGTGAATACTTTATTTTTTTTTAAATATCTCAGTAACAGTGATTTGTTTATGGAATTCCTATAATACTGGATTACTTAAAAAAATTTTTATACTATAAAATTCAAAAATGAAAATACAAACAGTCTTTTAGGTGTTTAAGCAATTGTTTCTCTGTGTTTTTCTAACTTGGCATGCTGACAATTGTTCTTGACTTAATTTTAAATTATTTATTTTTTGAAGATTATGATCTTTTTTTTTTTGAATCATAATTCCCTAACAGTTTCAATGGCCACAGTCAATATTTCTAATGCCAAACAACCTGCTCTATTATTGGGCTTTAAGGTAATTTAATAAGGGATTGTTTATATATGTATATATACACCATGCCAATGAAAGCAATAGCTGACTGAGAGTCATGGAGAACAGTAGACACTAAAATCATTTCCAGTCATTGACCAGTATGGTTATATCTAAATTTATAGTTCTGAAAGTGAAGATCGGATGGTGGTCCAGGTAGTATAATTGGTAACACATCTGCATGGTAAGCAAAAGTTGAAGATTTGACACCCACTCTGTGCTGATTCTTTTCTTCCGGAAATTTTAAGTTAGAATTATTATATTATAATTATTAAAATTATCATGAGATGGCAGCCTAACTGCCTACCTCTAGGCAAATTAAATGTAATTATTAATTTAGACCTATTTTAACCCAATAATATTGCAGCTCATTTGGCATTACTTAAAAATTGGGTTTCTGTATTGTTCATATACCAATATATTTTTTTACTGGTGTAACATTATAAAATGCTTCTTTTTTTTGAGCTAGAATTTAAGCTATAATGTAGCTTGGTTTATGATATTGTGCTTTGATGCTGGTTTCATTAAACCTACTTTGGCTATCAACTGGAAATATTTTTAATGACCTAAGAGACAAGAAATGAAGTCTTCTCTCATCTACTTACGTCTAGTAATTAATTTTCTATTTAATTATGTTTACCTGTAGTTATTGAGTATATTCAATTAAAACAGATCATTTATACTTATTTAAAATTTAAATGCACAAAAAGTAATCAGTTGTTTTTCCCTTCCAAAAAATTATTCAATGAATGATTGAAAGGAAGATAAATCACAAAAAATGAAAATTAATTATTCTGTTTTAATTAAATATGTTTTTAAAAATATATTTTAATGCCTTTTTGTACTTTATAACAATAAATATAATTATAAACAATATTATATTAGGTTAAAAGTGATTTGTCAAATGATAGTTATCAAGGATCGGTGCCAGTTAAATCTACCAATGAGGAAGAAGCCGTCGAAATGAAAAATAAAGAGAGCTGCGAATTATTAAAACATGAAGATAATGATTCTTGTGAGAAACTAATCCTCTGTCAGCAAGATGAATACGAATCATCCGAAGTGGATAAAACCATCAATGAGTCCACCCAATCCAAAAATATCCAAAGTAATTTTTAATTTTTTTACTTTTTGGCAAAATAGGTTCATTTACCAAATTTTTGTCAAAAAATTAAATCCATTTTCTTAAAAAATTACAGGTAAGATTTATAAAATTAAAGAAGAAAAGTATTGTCTTCCTTTATCTGGTAACTGCAGTTGTGGTTGTTGTTGTTTTTTGTTGTACCTGATCAAGGAAAACATTGTATAATTAGAACTTAAATTAATAATTCCAACTTGAGTTTTTCTAAATTATATGACTTTTTAATATATATTCTTCATTTATGTCATTCAACAGCCTTATCTATTCAAAATTTTTGATTGAGTTTAAAACTGATATTGTTTTCTTCAGTTACAGCCTGCTTTATTGTAGATCCTTGCAACATTTACATCAATTTTTGAGCACTTTCAAGTTTTCTGGCTCATTGTCAGAGATTTGCCCATGAAAGTACATAATATTCATATAATTTTCCCTATGAATATACTCCTGATAATGAGAGAAAAAGCTTCATCTAATTGATTTAAATGTTGTAGGATCTGCAGTATAATGTTTCCAAATTCTGGAAAGTCAGGGAAATAAAAATTGGTCAGGGAGAGTAAGGAAAATATGAGAAAAGTTAGAGAAAGTGAGGAAAATTAAGCATTTCCAAATGAAATACTATAATCAGTTCATATTTTTATTTATTGTTATATGACATACTAGGTCTGTAAACCCTCTACCCCCTGGTGGAATAGGGAATTGGCTGCCAAACGAACTGCGGTACGGAGGGCGAGACGCAGGATCAGGACCACAGTTGACCTGGCGTTAAAATCTCTGAGAACTGATGAATATAGGACCCTTTTTAGGGACTACAAGGCGTTAATTAACAATACAAGAAGAAAGTCGTGGCAGGAGTTCTGCACCACCTCCAATCACAATGGACCGTGGTCAACTCCTTATTATACGGCCATTAGAAAGAAAAAACCTCTGACACCTCCGGCAACCATCTCAACTGATACTGGCAAGACAAACAACCTTAATGATACTTACCAAGCCATTTTCACTGACCTCTTCCCACCTGATAATCCAACCAACGACAATCCCAAGCAACAAGAAATCAGGAATCAAAGCCTAATTCCTCTTCTGACTGACGACGATAGACCTTTCACTTCTGAGGAGAGAAGAAGAGAATTTCATAAAATCAAAAAGCGTAAGGCCCCTGGCCCTGACTTGATTAACGGGCAGATGGCACAACACGCCTATGAGGCCATATCTACAACTTTCTTAATAATCTTTAATAAATGTTTGGATCTTAAGTACTTCCCAGCCATCTGGAAAGAAGCGGCCGTAAGGCTAATCGCCAAGACTAAAGACACCTCTCCCACCAAGCCTTCTGACTACTGCCCCATATCCCTCCTGGCTGTTTTGGGAAAGGTTCTTGATGCTCTAATGGGAGGACGGATCCTCCATCACTTGGAAAAAATGAATGCACTTCACCTAGCCCAATACGGGTTTAGGAGAAATAAGAGTGCCCACCAAGCAATAGGTAAGATTCTTGATTATGTCCGTGACGCCAAAAATGACGGGAAACACACAATGATGGTCTCGATTGATTTTAAGGGCGCTTTCGACCACGCGTGGTGGCCCGCCATCCTGACTAACCTCGCAAATCTCAACTGTCCACTCAACATCCATGAGCTCCTCGGAAGTTATTTATCAGGGAGGACTGCCCTAGCTATAGAACAAGGAACCATGATGTACAAAATCGCAATTACTAGGGGCTGCCCCCCAAGGTTCCAAATCAGGCCCAATGCTTTGGAACATTCTTTATGATGGGCTACTCGACTCTCTCAATTCCTTTGACTTCCCAAGCAACCCTTATCTGCAAGGTTATGCAGACGATACTGTCATCTTGCTTTCTCACCAAAATCATGAGGTTCTTCAACAGCACACTAACAATTTCCTAAAAAGTATTCTCAACTGGAGTGAGGACAACTACCTCATCATTAACCATAATAAAAGTTACTGTATGGTCTTTCCTAAAGGGAATCCATTACGTAAAAAACCAACCATCCGCATCAAGGGCCAAAGGATCCAATGTGTAAATAGTATGAAATACCTTGGGGTAATCCTAGACTTCAAACTGACCTGGAGGGATCATACTCACTATGTGTACAATAAGGTAATACGTGTCAGCCACTCCCTCAGGAGTATAGCCCGAAACTACTGGGGGCTTGATCACAGGACCAGCCAACTTATCTATACAGGTGCAATCGAACCGATTCTAACATATGGAAGCGAAGAATGGGGCTACGCAGTCAACAACATCCATATCAGACGGAAACTGCTCTCCGCACAGCATAAAGCTGCAATTGCAACCACCAAATCTTATAGGACCACTCCAACCAATGCCCTCCTAGTCATCGCTGGGTTCCTTCCTATACACCTGGTAATTCTTGCAAGGTATCTAAGGAATTTACTTATAAAACTTCACTTTCGTAACATCACCAAATCTGAACTAAGGAAATTGATTTCCAAAATGCAACTCCCTGACTCCTTCAGCAAATTGATTGATGACATTTCTAACTATGGGATAGACCTCAACTGCAGTATCAACTGGCTCCACCCAGCTATTTCTTCCACCAATAGGATCTACTTTAATTTGCCAACCTCACTTACTGGGCTAAATTTCTTCACTGACAGCTCAAAAACCTGGGATGCTGTGGGTGCTTCTGCATGCCTGGTTGATAGCACTAAGAAACATCATTGGCAAGCTGCTCTTCGCCTGCGCAACCAGTGCTTTAATAACCAGGCGGAATCCCTGGCTATCCTCGCCACCCTGAAGTACATCAAGCAAAATATCTCCTGCTTCTCTGGAAAAACTGTCAACATCATCACAGACAGTCGTGTGGCACTCCACCAGATAAAGAATCAAAACCAAAAACTGCCAATCATTGACAATAGTCTCAACCTCCTTAACGAAATCAATAACTCAGCCTATATCAATTTCTACTGGGTTCAGGGTCACTCTGGAAATCCAGGTAATGAAAGGGCCGATAGGCTGGCTAAGAATGCTCACAAGATAGCTGATACCTATGCTTATGAGGCTATCCCTCTCTCCACCATTCACAGAGAGCTGCACGAACTACTCATCACTATCTGGCAAAAAGAGTGGGATACTGGCACCACTGGCCGACACACGTACAAATTTCTCCCAAGTGTCAGCACACGTCTTAACTTATCCTTCTTCCACACCAACCATGCCATCACCCAGCTTATCACGGCGCACGGGAACTTCTGTGCATACCTTAAACGTTTCCTCAAGAAAGGGAATGGTAATTGCACCTGTGACATTGTAGAAGAAGAGGATCCATTCCACGTCTTATTCACCTGCCCTAAGTACACCTCCTACCGCGGAAATCTGCGTAGTGTTGTGCAAGTGGAAGGTCATCATTGGCCCTGCAACTTCAGTGTCCTCCTCTCCTCAACACGGATCTTCCATGGACTAAAAAACTTCTGTAAACATCTACCATTAATGAACTTTTACAATGGATGCAGAGCGATAACCTAGTTGTCAGGCTTATTACTGCTATCATTATTGGGGCTAACCCCATTGTGTCCCTCCAATCCGCCACCGCATATCGATTCTGTTCTTGGTGGGCGGACATCTGTTATTAATTGTACAATTGCTACTTTTCAATACATACTCTCCTCTGTTTACTTCACACTTATTTGGACTGCACGCACCACTGTTTTTTTTTTTTCTTTTCTAGGATCTCATCCACTTGATCCCAGTCTAACGCTCTACAGTTCTCTCCTTTCCACCCCCTTTTCTCTCCCCCACCCCATTCCCTCCCCCTATCATTCTCTAACCCTCTCTATCACCCTCTTTCTCAGTGGCAACACCCCTGGGTATGCCATTTCTTTCGCTCACTATCACTATATGACATACTTTATTAAATTTTAGTTAATTTTTAGATAAAACCTGTTACTGCATTACTTTCTCACATGAAGTTCAGTTCAACTAACTACAATAGACCTATTTCAAATTTACCTTAGTAGTCTCAACTCTTGAATTTTATCTTTAGTGTTTGTGTTGCTACGTGTATAATTCAATTCTAAGCGACCTGCTGTAACAAGTGACATTTTCAATGTGCTGCAGTAAATGCCTGAGCTGACAGGTCATATTGTGACAGTTGCTACAGATCAAATTCATTTTACTACATGGAAAAATATTTTTTCTCGTATATTATTAAGTTTAAACTTACTTTCTAGTAGTTGACAATTCAAAATTATTACTTATTACACAGCAAAAAAATTGAGCGTAACCAACTTGGAATAAAGACTCCTAACAGTAAGTTGTTGTTAAGATATTTTTTAAAGAAAAATAATAGCAGCTATGTTTAAACACTATTTTAAACTACAGTATATATTAAAAAGTTTTAATTACTGTTTTAACAATTCTGATGTGTTTAAAGATCAAAGATGATCTTTCTTAACATGAAAAAAAAATGTTCAAATATTATATTGCACACATTATATTATGTATCTTGCATGAGAAACTAGCTTGGTTATTTTACAAGTTTCTATTTCCTATCAATGCCATATTAAATATTAAAAGTAGTGTAATGATGATCATATGAAGATGAGAGGAGGAGAAGGAAAATTATTAAGCCAAGGATTAAGTAAATATAGACCTAACTTGAACATTGAATTAGACTATAAAATGTCAGGAAAATAAGAAATTTAGGGTTGGAAAATCGTGGAAATGGGATATCATTTTGATTTATGAACCATGCAATAAAGCAGAATATAGTGGATCAGGTTTAAAATATGTATTTTGGCTATTTCAGATTATAGCAAAACTTTGATATAATGGAATAATTCAGATGGGTGTCTGTTAAAGCTGAAAATCCGTTATTTAATAACGTAGATTTTTCCAAATGCACGTGTTAAAAAGATTGACAATTTAGTTAGTTTATCTGTTTTTACTTACAATATACATTTATTTGATTAAAATTTAATATGAATAAGAAGTTTAATTTCACATGAAAGTTTTTATACGTATTATTGCTTATGTATTACCCATAGTTCGGAGACTGTAATAAACAAGTACAGTCGATCCCCCTATAAGACAGTAGGTACGTTTCGTTCTTTATGAATCAATTTTGTAGGAATCACAGCCAATCACAGCCCGACACGTGTGAAGTTTACAGACTACGGCTGTTTGAAAGGTTTTCTTCCATAAAATTAATCGATTCTAGACTAATCCGACTCAACATTTCCAAAATATGTATATTTTTTTTGGAAATAATCCGTATAAACTATGCTATAAACAAAAAATTGTAGGATTACTTACCGAGTGTGCACCATTCGACATCGCCATTGCTCAAGCTTGTTTTTGTCGCGGAACAGCGCAGCAAACCGCGGGCGCAATTTCTGATGTTATTTTTCTGCAAAAACTTTGTTGAACTTTGGAGACATCATTAATATAAATAATTTTAATTGCCGTTGNCAAAGTTTCACGCCAACCGGATAAACGGTGTGGTAATGCATGAATGACACACACACACACAGACAGACAACCATACATTCATTTTTATATATATAGATTTTAATCGCCGTTGAATAAGGAATGTTTCTTTCACACGAAATGTATAAAATTACAGTACTGTATTAGACTTACGGTAGCTAATTTACATACTGTACAGACGATAGTTCGCCTAAACTCTCCGTAGCGTAGCGCTAGACGGCGGAGAGCATATATACATAATTATAATAAAGTTACAATAAATTAAGTTAATATATAATTATATATACAGTACCTAATTTATATACAATTATATGTACAGATGATACTAAACTCAATTTACCTGCCTAAACTGTCCGTAGCATGGCGCTGGACAGCGGAAAGTAGTTCGGCTGCCCGATGACGTTTTACGTAATTATAGGAGTTTTTTTACCGTTGTTTACGGATACCGCCACAATTTTTTTGCCATCTTATAGGAATCGTAATTATAGGAACCCGTCTTATAGGGGGATCTACTGTATACAATCTAAGTCAAAATAAACAAACAAACATTTTTTGTAAAATACGCTTCATAAGCAGTGGCTTTTGGATTTGAGAAAAAACTTAATTTAATTACATATAAAAAGCATTTTAAAATTAACATGGTGTTAATTTTCGTATGACGTACAGACCGGAAATTTTCTCTCTTAAATGTGAAGTGTATTAAATTGAGGTTTTATTGTAATTCCATTCTCTTATTTGTGCTGTTTTTTAAAGATCATTTATGTGGAATATATTTAAAAGGCCAATAAAATCATAACACCCATTTTATTTATTTATTTATGATGATCTATAGAATGAAAAATACTTTTATCATAGGATATAATAGATGTAGATTTGGTTTTCTTTTAGTAACAGCAAATTTATGTATTATGTATATAGTTTGGGCTTTTTTCTCCCTGTAACTTTATATGTTAAAGATGATATTTTATTAAATACTTACATTTATTTTCTATTAAATCTTAAATTGTTATAAAATTACTTTGACATCATGGATTTGCTCATTAACTGATTCAATGTGTTTGAGAAGACCAAAAGATACACTTAAAGAAGGAAGTTTAGAAAAAAAAATCTGAAATTTTAAGAAAAGGAGGATTTGTTATATTGAAGGAAGTCAAAGTTTAACCTTCCATATCTGGTAGAATAACATGACAAACAAATAGTTGATTTTAATTACCATTCAGATTCTTAAATTGAGTGCTCTTCTAATAAATGCTGGATGTGACACAGTAGAATTTTTATAAGAATTTAGACAGAAAAACATAGAATCAAAACATGTCTAGTTTTAATCTCTTAATTTATTATGTTCAATGATATTGGTTATTTAATAATGGCAACTACAGAATTAATATTATATTAAAAAACAAAATTAATTAATATAAAATAATAACAATATACACTGGGCCCTCGTATAACACGTTATATGGGTCAGTATTTATAAAATGTGTTTCTAACTTTTTGATTATTTTGCTGTTATGCCACACTCGCAGTTTATACATAACAAATGTGGTTTGCATAATGCAGGACATACAGGGGTTTGCTGTATATATATATATTTTTTTTAAGACTAATATGCATCCTTAGTGTGATAATTAAAGTATAATTTGAATTCAAACCTTGATATATTTATAAATACTAGTTTAATATATTTCTTTTAAAATAATTATTAGTTCTGGAAAACAAAGAATTGGAATGTGTAGAAGAAGATTCTCAATCAGACGAACAAGCCACCGTTATTGAGTTATTGAACACGGAGTTTACTACATCACAAATAGATGCTGCTCAGTTTATTGAAACACACAGTGATGATATTCCAGGTATGTTATTTTGGATTATTCATCTTGGACATAACTGGAAACTGAATATTCATCCAGATATAAATTAAAAGCCTGAATTATAATGTTAATCATTTAAAAATAAGAATAATAAATATAGTTTTTGGCTATTTCATAGATATTTAAATTATTTATTATTATAAAAAGGAATCAATATTTCAGATGTTAATTTAGTAAAATGCAGTACAGATAACAGAGAAGAAAACAGCAACATTAATGAAATTCCAGACATGCATTTTCCCACAGACACCTTTCAGAATACAGATGATGTGAAGGTAAGCAATGAAGTTATTCTGCATTTATCCAATGTAGCCACATACATTAAAATTTACTCTAACTTATTTAGGTAGAATATATCTCATCCATTCGGGAAGAAGAAATTAAAGAAATCTATCAGAAAGAGGGGGAAGTGGATGATGTCAAAAACATTGATATAGATGTGCACAGCAATGTCAGAGTGGAACCCAGTGGACTGGATACTAGTAGTATGAATTTAGAAGATTTTACCAGCCAACGTGTGGAAGGAAACACTCCAGAACACTGCAGTGATGTTGAAATTGTTAATAATGAATTAGAAAACTCAAATGTTGTTGAGATTTCCGAAGAACAAACTGTTAATAGAACTGAAGACATACCAATGGCACAAACTCCGGAAAAAGCTCCACAAACAACCAAAATAGAACCAGTTAAACAATGTAAGTATATTGTTTTATTCCAGCAACATACATATAGTCATATTAACGTGCATTTTCCAAATTTTGGGATTTGTAACTGGCAAAGAAAGGACTGTACTAACTTTTATCCTTATAAATATATCATTCTTTTAACATTTGCTCTTTTATTTTTCTTAATTTCTCATAATTTTCATTCATGCACTAGCAATTTTTCCCTAGTTCTTCCTCTTGCATGCTTACTGTTTACAGTATTTACATATAATTCTCTCTCTTTCTTTCTCATTTAAGTAATGTTTAAATTTATCAAATATCATCAACATTCACCATTTTCTTTTAGTGGAAAGTCCTTCAGAAGTTGTAGAGGAACCAGAAACACCACCCTCAGAGGGTAGTAATGCAGATGTTCCCATTAGGAGAAAGAGAAAGTTACCAATAGAACTGCAAGAGTTGCCACACCTAACAGGATGGTCAAGAATGGCTTCGGGATTGTTGGAGAAAGTGGGTAAATATAGAGGTTCGGGTCGACTGGTGGGTGCCGCTCATTGGTTTTTACAACCCGGTATGAAGTTTTTCATTTGTTTACCCAATTTTTTTCATATATGTAAGTGACAATTGAATGATTCATTTTAGTTACACCTGCTGATGCTCCAGGATATTATGATATAGTGAAGAAACCTATGGATTTTTCTACTATCAAAAAGAAATTAGAAGTGAGAATAACCATTAATTTTCATAAAAATCATCTTTAAATAATTACAATTAAGAATTGTCTGAAACTTGGCACCATGTTCAAAATTCAATAAACAAACTACTAAAGCCAGATGAATTGGTAAATTATCAGGTTATATTAAGGCTAAGTTAATAATTAGATACAAAGTAATTTGTCTACAGGTAGGCAATTGAGCTGGCAATTAGGCAATGCTTCATTATTAGATTCAATGTACCAAAATTGAAGGATCATATTTTATTCTGGTTGATTGCTATTTGATTTGATGTATCTGATGATAAACATTTATGTTTAAAAACATCAATAGTGAGGATTGAAATAATTTTTTTTTGATAACAAAGTCCTAAAGTTTAATTTTAATATTTCATAAAATATTTTAGGGTGGCCAATATAAAAATTTGGAAGAATTTCACGCCGACATGATGCTAGTGAAAGCCAATTGCGATTTATACAATCCTCCAGGACACGAAGCGAGAACGGACGGAGAAGAGGTTTTCACTTTTTACCTGCAAGAGTATAATAGAATTGTTGAAAAGTGGCAGAAAGTGAGTCTCTTTCTTTTCATTCTTTAAGGCAGAAAGAAATTTCACAAAATCTAAATAACAATTTCTGATTTTCAGAGCCACTTGTTGTCCAGCTCTCGACGTTCCAAATCTAGTAAAGAGTAAATATTAGCAACATGACTCATTCTGTATTTAAGTTTGTTCTTTCCGATTTTTTAAAAATCGACTCAAAAATGTCTTCCATCATTTTAATTGTAAATTTATCTGAAGATTCGTTGTGTAAATGATACTCTTTAATTAGATTTAAATGAATTTTACATCGTCCTTAATGGGGATTTGTTCCAAATTGCCATTAAGTCCTTCTGTTTCTTTTTTTAATCTGTAAATAGATTTCATTAAATTTTTCTTACAATCATTATTTTATTCTATCATTTTACTAATAAAATTATTTAATTTATACTAACAAAATTGCAACTTTATTGGACCATACAAGAAAATTTTGGACGTACCAAAACAAAAGTGACAACTTGAAATTTATAAAATGACATTCTGTTATACATTTTTTATTCTAAATTATAAATTCTGCCATAGAATATTCAAATTTCAAAATATAACCACAGAATACAACTTGTTCATCGATAAATTTGTAAGCTTCAGCATATGTTTTCACATTGCTTTACATATTTTCTACATTTATGAATTCCATTAATTTCTGCTGGTTTATTTTTCTCAGACATTATTGAATTATGTACCAGATGTCACACAATGTCAACTGTCTGTCTGAGAAAAGTTAAAACACCATACAATGAATGTGATTTTTCAAAAAAAAAAAAAAAAAAAAATTCAAAGAATTCAAATTGTATGATTTGAATAAATCATTTTTTTTTAATGTAAATACCAAAAATATAAAACACAAAACAAAAATTTAGTGAGAACTTCAGAAAGTTTTTTCTTGTATTTGATAAATTTTAAACATTAATCCTTCAATCGAATATCAAGTATTATATACAGAGTGTACCAGAAACACCTGAAAGCTTTTTAAAATAAAGAATTTCTTCAGGAAAAAGTATAAATATTTATTGCCTTGCACAGATAAATTCTTTTTTAAATGGAGAATGAATGTATATCACCATTATTTCCTGAATGTAACATTTTGTAAAGGACTACCTTTCTGATAAACGAATTCTTATAGTCTGTCCGGAAAAGATGCCTTAACTCGCAGCAACATGTTTTGTGGAATCTCCTGAATGCATCAATGAATTCAATCTTTTGGCACTTTAAAACTAGCTGAGTGTGTCTCGTAAACTTTATATTTCAGGTAGCTCCACAAAAAAATCCAACACTGTTGGGTCTGGCAATTGAGCAGACTAGGGGATTCCCCAAAGTGAGAAATCACTTTATCTGGAAACATTTCTTGCAGAAGTTCAGGGTACACTGAACATAATGATAAAGTTTTAAATATCTATACGTGCCCAGTGCCGTAACTAGCCATTCCTGTGCCCTGTGCAAGAATGCATTTAAGCCTCTTAATTAATTAGGTTTGGGAAAGTAATAAAACTAATACATGCATTTTGGGCCCTTCTTCCAAGTAAGTCCTGTGCAGATGCACCTGTTGCACCTGCCTAGTTACGGCACTGTACATGCCAAATATTAATAGAAAAAGGTAATGTATACCACCATCTGTCGGCATTATATAAAAATTGAGCATAGTGATGTGTTATATTACAATGAGCTGTAATGGGTGTCCTGTGAATTAAATTTAAAAACCATCAGGTGTTTCTGGCATAACAATGGAGACATTTATTTTTAAAGAAGTAAAATATCAATTTTTATTGATAAAACCTCTAAATTTTATGATACCAATGTAAAGTATAGCAACAAGTAAGATGACAAAACACTTTTATAACACAATTTACAAAAATGTAACAAATAGTGTTTTGTATTTTCTTGCATCACGTGTGGTACAGGGTCGAACAATTGCAAAACTAGAAATTTTATTTAATATTTTTAGCTTTTCATTTCAGATTGTTTTTATTTTAGGTGGATCCGACCCCACTGTGCCTAAAACATCACAGTTATTGTCATTAAATGATGCCCATTTTAAACAGTCGTCATATTTTTTGTATAATCTTAGATGATGAATCCTCACGCTATATAATAAGCATGCTTAACTTTAAACATTTTTATGTGTGCCAAACTTTTGGACTTTGAATAACAATAAAAAAAAGAGCTGATTGAAAAATAGGATGATTAAGTAATAAACTAAAAGCATGATTGAAAATATGGGTAACATACCGAAATTATGTGATATGTTACATGCCAGATAGTGTGTCTCAATGTGCCACAGGTTCGCCGTTGCCGAGCTAGAGGATCTTTCCAAGCTCTTGCTAAACAAAGCAGTCAACTGATAGCAAAATGAAATGTGCAAAAATCATGATTCTACATCTGTAGCCTTTTCCATTCAAATGTTATAAAAGACTAGTGACCATTGCAAAATTAATATGTAAACTGTCCAACAACGATCATGTATATTTCATTTCCTAACTTTCCATAATTTATTGTAATTGTATGTCTATATTTTCTTGACTCGAGAGTTAACAAAGAAGAATACTCTCAACAAAAATTAAAGTGTTAATTCAGAGAAATCACAGTGAGATGAGATCAAAACTCTCTATCAGAGCAGAAATTGTGTTCCGTATATGCTTGGATTTCAAAGCCATGGATTTCAAAGCAGATGCAACAAAGGATTGATTTTTTAATAACAAATGTACAAGAACTAAATTGGTTTTAATTAAGTTCTTTTTCTCTTCGTAGCAGGGTGGCGGAGGAGGTAGAGGCATCACTCTGTTGTTCTGGGAGAGCTAGGTTTGAATTTGGATAAGAATCATTGAAGAGTAATACTTTCAATAAGTATTGCAAAATTGAGGAACATTTAAAAAAACAAATTGGGATGATCTTATTGAAAACAGTATCCATTTCCCCTCATTTTTCTCAGTTTTTACTTGGAGGAGGGCCTTTTTTTCCGATTATTACTATATAGCAGTGTATTACATACATGAAGTTGGTCCCCCTAAATGTTTGTACTAACTAAAAATTTGTCATTCAATTGTTCTATGTTTGTATTGGATTGTTCAAAATTTTTGTACCATGATATTTTATTAGTTAGATGCAAATTTAAATCCCAGACAAGACCATAGAAAAATTTAGGACTCAGAGGTAGAGGCCCCTTTGCCATTAATTTTTTGAACAAATGACATATGTAAAATGTTTATCGACAGTCTTAAATTTAATAAAGAATTAAACTGACAGTCCTTTATCTGTCAGTAATCAGGTATTCGTCTATGCAAGGAATGGCCAGATTAGCAGGAGTCTCCTGTATATTTTTTGTAAAGTTTTACCATGTTAATTTAATGAATTAGTTCCTATAACAGAGATATTGAAAAAAAGTTATCACGTAATAATTGCCGCGCTAAATTGTTCGCTTCGTTTGTTAAAAACAGACACTGAAATTACGAAAATTTAAAAAGAAAAAAATTGAATTGAAATAGTGAATGAAAGAATGGCTCCACCGCAAACCGCTTATCAAGTGGAAAATTTTGATCCTTTTCCTAACGAAGATTTAATATGTAGCATTTGCGACTACGTTTTCTACGACCCAGTAGAATGCCCGTGTCGTCACGTTTACTGCCGAAATTGCATTTGCGATTGGTTGAGCTGTCAGAATACCTGCCCCGTTTGCAGGAAATCGGTTATTTTATACGAGCTTCAAGCCGTAGGGCCTATAATCAAAAATATGATAATGAAGTTGACCATTCGTTGTCCGAATTCCGAACACGGTTGCAAGCAGAATTTCGCCTTGGAGGAATACGATTCTCACTTATCTAATTGTGATTACGCAATAGTAAAATGCAATAAATGCCAAGAGGAAATGGTAATTAAAGATAGATTTAAACACGAGCAATTAGAATGCAATTATCGATTAATTCAATGCAAAAAATATTGCTCTCTCATGTTGCCCGCTAATGTAATGAAATCTCACAATTGCGCTGAAGAATTGACAAAGGAAATAGGAGATAAGAAGAAATTAATTAACGAATTAAAACATAATTTAAAATATTGTAAGAAACAATTCAATAAAGATGCAACATCGAGTCAAGTTGTTAACGATATTAGAGCGGGTAAATCATCTGCAGTTACTTTTATTAATAAAATGAAGAAACTTCTAGTTGATTTTTCAAGGCGTGTGCATCGAAAAGAACAGGCGAAAGAAACCAATAATCGTCCCGAAAATATTGATAATTCGTGGGAAGGCAATGGCATTGAATCAGATTTAATTAATGCCAATCGATTGCATTGCGCACCCGTATTTCATTGTTTCCGTGACGAAATTTTTAACCCATCGGATTCGAGTGAAGCAGAAATACGTAGCGTGATGACGACATTAGATGAACCCGGTGAATTTATAATACCAACACGCAGAAATATTGGTACCGAATGTTCTTCTGGTCATAATGAAAATAGTATGGCATCAACACCCAATGTATCAATTACAGCGGACGAGATGCAAGAACGGAAGAAATTTCACTCGGGTGTAAATATTTCACACGAAATGCAAAGGATTAAACATTTACCAATTGTAATGTTTACAATTCCAAATGTGAGAATGTCAAAACAACGGAAATTTTCTAATTCTACAAATGCAATTGGCAAACTAGAAACAAGGCAGATTCCATATTTAAACCAGGATAATGTCAAAAGAATAAAATTAAATCTAAAGACACCAGAAATAATTCAAAATCCTGGGACGTCATCGAAAGGAAGATTGAAAATTAATTGTATAAGTGAAAATGTATGCGATAGAAATATATTATTGCGAGAAACAAATGAGAGAGAATTGCCTTTAGATAATAATTCGCAGGTTCAGATGGAAGATCTCTGTATTCCTCCATTAGAAGATATAAATTCTACAAGAGATGTGGATAAATGCGAAATTTCTGAAGCACGGGGAGTTAATTATAAAGCTTTTAATCGCAAAAGCCGCGTTTTAAGAATTGTACGAAAACTATTTATAAACTGTTTAGCATCTAACCATTGCCGTTATAATGACGATAGCGATTTTGAATTATGCGGGAATTTTGATAAACCGGATAATACAGTAATGAAATAAATTTTGAAAAAACATGAATTAATTTAAATGCCAAAATTTGTTAATTAAATAAACGTATATATAATTAAATATTTTGTTTTCCTCTTTTTGGCCTGTGACCGTTCGTAGGGACTTTTTAATCGCACCCATCGTGGTTCTGTCAGACCCACGATGGGGTGGCCCATTGGCGAGGAACGGGATCCAACGTATTTCCAAGGTCGAATATACTGCCAGTGGGAAAATTAACACTGTTTTTCTAAAGAATAAGCTGTGTCGTTTGCATGTCTTGTGTATGTAAATTGCAATTTTGGAACTAATCCATCCTTCGTCAAAAAACCGCATCTAAAATACTATAAATAGAAGCAGAGTACTTTACGGTAAGTCTTAATCCTGTCCATCTCCCAAGGGGGGGAATTTCGACACGTATATTAAATACGTAAAAACACGTGCGTATTCGAATGCAGCGTTGTGTGAAAATTTCAAAGGAATCGGTAGGAAGAAACGAACATTACATTTTTATTTATATAAATAGATAGAAGATGATCCGCTTTAGTTCATTTTCGCAGAAAAGCGTAATGCCTCACAGAAAAGCAAACTTAGGGCGTCGTACTCGTAGCGCCATCTGTTGGACAAAAAAGCCTTAACCATAGATGATATCATTTAATTTATATGAATGTTTAACGGAATAATACACAGCCTAAGTCCACCCTGAGGTTTTATTCTAAATATTGGTGAAAGAATTTTTGAAATCGGATGAGTAGTTTCGGAGATTACCTGCTGCAAACAAACTTACAAACATTACCTCTTTTTAATAATAGTATAGATTGCAACTCGTATAATGTCCTTATTTCAGTTTTACATTTGAATAAAGTTAATTTCGGCGGAAGCCAAATCGAATTGTTTTATCGAGGCGATAAACATTGGCTTTCGTATGTAATTGATTTAATTAATTAACGAAAACACTCGTTTATTTGTTATCATACGTAAGTTTAATTAACAAGTGCGTAAGTAAGTGTATTATTAATTAAAACAAGATTGCTCGTCGCGAGCAGGGGCGCATCTACATAGGGACTAATAGGACTTAAGCCCTGGGACCCCAAGTGTCGAGTGCCCACAGAAATTGAATTATCATCATAAATTCTTAATACTTTTTCATTAACAATGAACACTTATCGTATAGTAAAAAATAGTTAATATTTATAATATAATAATAATGATAATTTATAGTANAAAAGCACTTACAAAAATTCAGAGAACAGAAATTAACTAGTGCAAAAAAAGTTATGTATACAACTGTGAAAGTTTTGTTCCATAAACCATGTATAGATGTGTGAAATTCGAGGTTTATATAATGTAATAAAAGCATTTAATCCTTTAAATTTTTAATAAATTCCTTTAACTAGAGGAAGTTGCACCTGCAGAAACGAAATTTGAGGTGCATGAGAAAATTATAACTCTTTCTATTTAACTATAAACATTCTCACGATCAATCCGTGAATAGTTTACAATTATCGACAAAATTCGTCATATTGTTGTCATTCTATCGCCACCTTTAATCTCACACCTGCTAAAACAATAGATCACCTGACGAATTTTCCCACCAAAAATGTATAAAAGCCATCCTCCTTCCCTTCTCGGGGGAGTCACCGATCGAATGTTCAAGAAGGACCTTCACTTCCCGTTGACCTGCTGAATTAATTAGAAGATCTTGTGCCAACTCGCACCTCCCTTTCGAAATAGCCGAAGTATCCGTCCGATACTATCACAGAGGTATGAAATATTATTGTAAACTCCCTCTCTCATCTGCGGAGTTTTGTAAAATTTTATTTAGTTAGCGCGTTAAATAAACCGTTGTTTGTTTTTAAATGGTGTCGTTACTCGACTTTGCTCACGCCTTATCATCGACCCCCTCCGACTCTCCTACACTCGCGTAATGAGTAACCGAACGTTACTACCATCCCTGACAAGAAAAGTAGTCACTGACCTGTGGCCGGGAGGAGAGGACTCTTCTTACCTCCCGGTGGCTCACAAATTGGTGTAGCAGGAGTGGGGTTTCGAACTAAAAACCCCTAGAAACATCACAGATGCCATAAAATATAGTCTTACAAATCTTAAACACAGCGTCACTGCTTCTTGTGTTTGTTTTCTGAACATAAAAATCTTTTGAGAAAGTGTTCATTGTCCGAACTGTTTGTTAACCGATTGCCCACTGTACTATAGAAATGATATGCAATAAAATTACTTAAATCTTGTACTAGAGGAAGGTAATAATACTAGTTTCTCTGTTCTAACATTGTGTAACTTTGTAGAAATATTCCTATTTATAGTCCAGCAATGTTAAATGAGAAAGGAGACAGTTTTTAAAAACTTTCACTATAATAAATATTTTTTCTTGTTTCACTAAATATTGCTATAGAGGAATTTGACTGTATTTTATTTACTAGTGGATAGTATAATGAATATGAATTACCAACTATTTGTGAATACTTTATTTTTTTTTAAATATCTCAGTAACAGTGATTTGTTTATGGAATTCCTATAATACTGGATTACTTAAAAAAATTTTTATACTATAAAATTCAAAAATGAAAATACAAACAGTCTTTTAGGTGTTTAAGCAATTGTTTCTCTGTGTTTTTCTAACTTGGCATGCTGACAATTGTTCTTGACTTAATTTTAAATTATTTATTTTTTGAAGACTATGATCTTTTATTTTTGAATCATAATTCCCTATCAGTTTCAATGGCCACAGTCAATATTTCTAATGCCAAACAACCTGCTTTATTATTGGGCTTTAAGATAATTTAATAAGGGATTGTTTATATATGTATATATACACCATGCCAATGAAAGCAATAGCTGACTGAGAGTCATGGAGAACAGTAGACACTAAAATCATTCCCAATCATTGATCAGTATGGTTATATCTAAATTAATAGTTCTGAAAGTGAAGATCGGATGGTGGTCCAGGTAGTATAATTGGTAACACACCTGCATGATAAGCAAAAGTTGAAGATTTGACACCCACTCTGTGCTGATTCTTTTCTTCCGGAAATTTTAAATTAGAAATATTATATTATAATTATTAAAATTATCATGAGATGGCAGCCTAACTGCCTACCTCTAGGCAAATTAAATGTAATTATTAATTTAGACCTATTTTAACCCAATAATATTGCAGCTCATTTGGCATTACTTAAAAATTGGGTTTCTGTATTGTTCATATACCAATATATTTTTTTACTGGTGTAACATTATAAAATGCTTCTTTTTTTTGAGCTAGAATTTAAGCTATAATGTAGCTTGGTTTATGATATTGTGCTTTGATGCTGGTTTCATTAAACCTACTTTGGCTATCAACTGGAAATATTTTTAATGACCTAAGAGACAAGAAATGAAGTCTTCTCTCATCTACTTACGTCTAGTAATTAATTTTCTATTTAATTATGTTTACCTGTAGTTATTGAGTATATTCAATTAAAACAGATCATTTATACTTATTTAAAATTTAAATGCACAAAAAGTAATCAGTTGTTTTTCCCTTCCAAAAAATTATTCAATGAATGATTGAAAGGAAGATAAATCACAAAAAATGAAAATTAATTATTCTGTTTTAATTAAATATGTTTTTAAAAATATATTTTAATGCCTTTTTGTACTTTATAACAATAAATATAATTATAAACAATATTATATTAGGTTAAAAGTGATTTGTCAAATGATAGTTATCAAGGATCGGTGCCAGTTAAATCTACCAATGAGGAAGAAGCCGTCGAAATGAAAAATAAAGAGAGCTGCGAATTATTAAAACATGAAGATAATGATTCTTGTGAGAAACTAATCCTCTGTCAGCAAGATGAATACGAATCATCCGAAGTGGATAAAACCATCAATGAGTCCACCCAATCCAAAAATATCCAAAGTAATTTTTAATTTTTTTACTTTTTGGCAAAATAGGTTCATTTACCAAATTTTTGTCAAAAAATTAAATCCATTTTCTTAAAAAATTACAGGTAAGATTTATAAAATTAAAGAAGAAAAGTATTGTCTTCCTTTATCTGGTAACTGCAGTTGTGGTTGTTGTTGTTTTTTGTTGTACCTGATCAAGGAAAACATTGTATAATTAGAACTTAAATTAATAATTCCAACTTGAGTTTTTCTAAATTATATGACTTTTTAATATATATTCTTCATTTATGTCATTCAACAGCCTTATCTATTCAAAATTTTTGATTGAGTTTAAAACTGATATTGTTTTCTTCAGTTACAGCCTGCTTTATTGTAGATCCTTGCAACATTTACATCAATTTTTGAGCACTTTCAAGTTTTCTGGCTCATTGTCAGAGATTTGCCCATGAAAGTACATAATATTCATATAATTTTCCCTATGAATATACTCCTGATAATGAGAGAAAAAGCTTTATCTAATTGATTTAAATGTTGTAGGATCTGCAGTATAATGTTTCCAAATTCTGGAAAGTCAGGGAAATAAAAATTGGTCAGGGAGAGTAAGGAAAATATGAGAAAAGTTAGAGAAAGTGAGGAAAATTAAGCATTTCCAAATGAAATACTATAATCAGTTCATATTTTTATTTATTGTTATATGACATACTAGGTCTGTAAACCCTCTGCCCCCTGGTGGAATAGGGAATTGGCTGCCAAACGAACTGCGGTACGGAGGGCGAGATGCAGGATCAGGACCACAGTTGACCTGGCGTTAAAATCTCTGAGAACCGATGAATATAGGACCCTTTTTAGGGACTACAAGGCGTTAATTAACAATACAAGAAGAAAGTCGTGGCAGGAGTTCTGCACCACCTCCAATCACAATGGACCGTGGTCAACTCCTTATTATACGGCCATTAGAAAGAAAAAACCTCTGACACCTCCGGCAACCATCTCAACTGATACTGGCAAGACAAACAACCTTAATGATACTTACCAAGCCATTTTCACCGACCTCTTCCCACCTGATAATCCAACCAACGACAATCCCAAGCAACAAGAAATCAGGAATCAAAGCCTAATTCCTCTTCTGACTGACGACGATAGACCTTTCACTTCTGAGGAGAGAAGAAGAGAATTTCATAAAATCAAGAAGCGTAAGGCCCCTGGCCCTGACTTGATTAACGGGCAGATGGCACAACATGCCTATGAGGCCATATCTACAACTTTCTTAATAATCTTTAATAAATGTTTGGATCTTAAGTACTTCCCAGCCATCTGGAAAGAAGCGGCCATAAGGCTAATCGCCAAGACTAAAGACACTTCTCCCACCAAGCCTTCTGACTACTGCCCCGTATCCCTCCTGGCTGTTTTGGGAAAGGTTCTTGATGCTCTAATGGGATCCTCCATCACTTGGAAAAAATGAATGCACTTCACCTAGCCCAATACGGGTTTAGGAGAAATAAGAGTGCCCACCAAGCAATAGGTAAGATCCTTGATTATGTCTGTGACGCCAAAAATGACGGGAAACACACGATGATGGTCTCGATTGATTTTAAGGGCGCTTTCGACCACGCGTGGTGGCCCGCCATCCTGACTAACCTCGCAAATCTCAAATGTCCACTCAACATCCATGAGCTCCTCGGAAGTTATTTATCAGGGAGGACTGCCCTAGCTATAGAACAAGGAACCATGATGTACAAAACCGCAATTACTAGGGGCTGCCCCCAAGGTTCCAAATCAGGCCCAATGCTTTGGAACATTCTTTATGATGGGCTACTCGACTCTCTCAATTCCTCTGACTTCCCAGGCAACCCTTATCTGCAAGGTTATGCAGACGATACTGTCGTCTTGCTTTCTCACCAAAATCATGAGGTTCTTCAACAACACACTAACAATTTCCTAAAAAGTATTCTCAACTGGAGTGAGGACAACTACCTCATCATTAACCATAATAAAAGTTACTGTATGGTCTTTCCTAAAGGGAATCCATTACGTAAAAAACCAACCATCCGCATCAAGGGCCAAAGGATCCAATGTGTAAATAGTATGAAATACCTTGGGGTAATCCTAGACTTCAAACTGACCTGGAGGGATCATACTCACTATGTGTACAATAAGGTAATACGTGTCAGCCACTCCCTCAGGAGTATAGCCCGAAACTACTGGGGGCTTGATCACAGGACCAGCCAACTTATCTATACAGGTGCAATCGAACCGATTCTAACATATGGAAGCGAAGAATGGGGCTACGCAGTCAACAACATCCATATCAGACGGAAACTGCTCTCCGCACAGCATAAAGCTGCAATTGCAACCACCAAATCTTATAGGACCACTCCAACCAATGCCCTCCTAGTCATCGCTGGGTTCCTTCCTATACACCTGGTAATTCTTGCAAGGTATCTAAGGAATTTACTTATAAAACTTCACTTTCGTAACATCACCAAATCTGAACTAAGGAAATTGATTTCCAAAATGCAACTCCCTGACTCCTTCAGCAAATTGATTGATGACATTTCTAACTATGGGATAGACCTCAACTGCAGTATCAACTGGCTCCACCCAGCTATTTCTTCCACCAATAGGATCTACTTTAATTTGCCAACCTCACTTACTGGGCTAAATTTCTTCACTGACAGCTCAAAAACCTGGGATGCTGTGGGTGCTTCTGCATGCCTGGTTGATAGCACTAAGAAACATCATTGGCAAGCTGCTCTTCGCCTGCGCAACCAGTGCTCTAATAACCAGGCGGAATCCCTGGCTATCCTCGCCACCCTGAAGTACATCAAGCAAAATATCTCCTGCTTCTCTGGAAAAACTGTCAACATCATCACAGACAGTCGTGTGGCACTCCACCAGATAAAGAATCAAAACCAAAAACTGCCAATCATTGACAATAGTCTCAACCTCCTTAACGAAATCAATAACTCAGCCTATATCAATTTCTACTGGGTTCAGGGTCACTCTGGAAATCCAGGTAATGAAAGGGCCGATAGGCTGGCTAAGAATGCTCACAAGATAGCTGATACCTATGCTTATGAGGCTATCCCTCTCTCCACCATTCACAGAGAGCTGCACGAACTACTCATCACTATCTGGCAAAAAGAGTGGGATACTGGCACCACTGGCCGACACACGTACAAATTTCTCCCAAGTGTCAGCACACGTCTTAACTTATCCTTCTTCCACACCAACCATGCCATCACCCAGCTTATCACGGCGCACGGGAACTTCTGTGCATACCTTAAACGTTTCCTCAAGAAAGGGAATGGTAATTGCACCTGTGACATTGTAGAAGAAGAGGATCCATTCCACGTCTTATTCACCTGCCCTAAGTACACCTCCTACCGCGGAAATCTGCGTAGTGTTGTGCAAGTGGAAGGTCATCATTGGCCCTGCAACTTCAGTGTCCTCCTCTCCTCAACACGGATCTTCCATGGACTAAAAAACTTCTGTAAACATCTACCATTAATGAACTTTTACAATGGATGCAGAGCGATAACCTAGTTGTCAGGCTTATTACTGCTATCATTATTGGGGCTAACCCCATTGTGTCCCTCCAATCCGCCACCGCATATCGATTCTGTTCTTGGTGGGCGGACATCTGTTATTAATTGTACAATTGCTACTTTTCAATACATACTCTCCTCTGTTTACTTCACACTTATTTGGACTGCACGCACCACTGTTTTTTTTTTTTCTTTTCTAGGATCTCATCCACTTGATCCCAGTCTAACGCTCTACAGTTCTCTCCTTTCCACCCCCTTTTCTCTCCCCCACCCCATTCCCTCCCCCTATCATTCTCTAACCCTCTCTATCACCCTCTTTCTCAGTGGCAACACCCCTGGGTATGCCATTTCTTTCGCTCACTATCACTATATGACATACTTTATTAAATTTTAGTTAATTTTTAGATAAAACCTGTTACTGCATTACTTTCTCACATGAAGTTCAGTTCAACTAACTACAATAGACCTATTTCAAATTTACCTTAGTAGTCTCAACTCTTGAATTTTATCTTTAGTGTTTGTGTTGCTACGTGTATAATTCAATTCTAAGCGACCTGCTGTAACAAGTGACATTTTCAATGTGCTGCAGTAAATGCCTGAGCTGACAGGTCATATTGTGACAGTTGCTACAGATCAAATTCATTTTACTACATGGAAAAATATTTTTTCTCGTATATTATTAAGTTTAAACTTACTTTCTAGTAGTTGACAATTCAAAATTATTACTTATTACACAGCAAAAAAATTGAGCGTAACCAACTTGGAATAAAGACTCCTAACAGTAAGTTGTTGTTAAGATATTTTTTAAAGAAAAATAATAGCAGCTATGTTTAAACACTATTTTAAACTACAGTATATATTAAAAAGTTTTAATTACTGTTTTAACAATTCTGATGTGTTTAAAGATCAAAGATGGTCTTTTTTAACATGAAAAAAAAATGTTCAAATATTATATTGCACACATTATATTATGTATCTTGCATGAGAAACTAGCTTGGTTATTTTACAAGTTTCTATTTCCTATCAATGCCATATTAAATATTAAAAGTAGTGTAATGATGATCATATGAAGATGAGAGGAGGAGAAGGAAAATTATTAAGCCAAGGATTAAGTAAATATAGACCTAACTTGAACATTGAATTAGACTATAAAATGTCAGGAAAATAAGAAATTTAGGGTTGGAAAATCGTGGAAATGGGATATCATTTTGATTTATGAACCATGCAATAAAGCAGAATATAGTGGATCAGGTTTAAAATATGTATTTTGGCTATTTCAGATTATAGCAAAACTTTGATATAATGGAATAATTCAGACGGGTGTCTGTTAAAGCTGAAAATCTGTTATTTAATAACGTAGATTTTTCCAAATGCACGTGTTAAAAAGATTGACAATTTAGTTAGTTTATCTGTTTTTACTTACAATATACATTTATTTGATTAAAATTTAATATGAATAAGAAGTTTAATTTCACATGAAAGTTTTTATACGTATTATTGCTTATGTATTACCCATAGTTCGGAGACTGTAATAAACAAGTACAGTCGATCCCCCTATAAGACAGTAGGTACGTTTCGTTCTTTATGAATCAATTTTGTAGGAATCACAGCCAATCACAGCCCGACACGTGTGAAGTTTACAGACTACGGCTGTTTGAAAGGTTTTCTTCCATAAAATTAATCGATTCTAGACTAATCCGACTCAACATTTCCAAAATATGTATATTTTTTTTGGAAATAATCCGTATAAACTATGCTATAAACAAAAAATTGTAGGATTACTTACCGAGTGTGCACCATTCGACATCGCCATTGCTCAAGCTTGTTTTTGTCGCGGAACAGCGCAGCAAACCGCGGGCGCAATTTCTGATGTTATTTTTCTGCAAAAACTTTGTTGAACTTTGGAGACATCATTAATATAAATAATTTTAATTGCCGTTGAATAAGAAATGTTTCTTTCACAAGAAATGTATAAAATTACAGTACTGTATTAGACTTACAGTACCTAATTTACATACTGTACAGACGATAGCTCACCTAAACTCTCCATAGCGTGGCTCTAGACGGCGGAAAGTATATATATAATTATAATAAATTAAGTTAATATATAATTATATATACAGTACCTAATTTATATACAATTATATGTACAGATGATACTAAACTCAATTTACCTGCCTAAACTGTCCGTAGCATGGCGCTGGACAGCGGAAAGTAGTTCGGCTGCCCGATGACGTTTTACGTAATTATAGGAGTTTTTTTACCGTTGTTTACGGATACCGCCACAATTTTTTTGCCATCTTATAGGAATCGTAATTATAGGAACCCGTCTTATAGGGGGATCTACTGTATACAATCTAAGTCAAAATAAACAAACAAACATTTTTTGTAAAATACGCTTCATAAGCAGTGGCTTTTGGATTTGAGAAAAAACTTAATTTAATTACATATAAAAAGCATTTTAAAATTAACATGGTGTTAATTTTCGTATGACGTACAGACCGGAAATTTTCTCTCTTAAATGTGAAGTGTATTAAATTGAGGTTTTATTGTAATTCCATTCTCTTATTTGTGCTGTTTTTTAAAGATCATTTATGTGGAATATATTTAAAAGGCCAATAAAATCATAACACCCATTTTATTTATTTATTTATGATGATCTATAGAATGAAAAATACTTTTATCATAGGATATAATAGATGTAGATTTGGTTTTCTTTTAGTAACAGCAAATTTATGTATTATGTATATAGTTTGGGCTTTTTTCTCCCTGTAACTTTATATGTTAAAGATGATATTTTATTAAATACTTACATTTATTTTCTATTAAATCTTAAATTGTTATAAAATTACTTTGACATCATGGATTTGCTCATTAACTGATTCAATGTGTTTGAGAAGACCAAAAGATACACTTAAAGAAGGAAGTTTAAGAAAAGGAGAATTTGTTATATTGAAGAAAGTCAAAGTTTAACCTTCCATATCTGGTAGAATAACATGACAAACAAATAGTTGATTTTAATTACCATTCAGATTCTTAAATTGAGTGCTCTTCTAATAAATGCTGGATGTGACACAGTAGAATTTTTATAAGAATTTAGACAGAAAAACATAGAATCAAAACATGTCTAGTTTTAATCTCTTAATTTATTATGTTCAATGATATTGGTTATTTAATAATGGCAACTACAGAATTAATATTATATTAAAAAACAAAATTAATTAATATAAAATAATAACAATATACACTGGGCCCTCGTATAACACGTTATATGGGTCAGTATTTATAAAATGTGTTTCTAACTTTTTGATTATTTTGCTGTTATACCACACTCGCAGTTTATACATAACAAATGTGGTTTGCATAATGCAGGACATACAGGGGTTTGCTGTATATATATATATTTTTTTTAAGACTAATATGCATCCTTAGTGTGATAATTAAAGTATAATTTGAATTCAAACCTTGATATATTTATAAATACTAGTTTAATATATTTCTTTTAAAATAATTATTAGTTCTGGAAAACAAAGAATTGGAATGTGTAGAAGAAGATTCTCAATCAGACGAACAAGCCACCGTTATTGAGTTATTGAACACGGAGTTTACTACATCACAAATAGATGCTGCTCAGTTTATTGAAACACACAGTGATGATATTCCAGGTATGTTATTTTGGATTATTCATCTTGGACATAACTGGAAACTGAATATTCATCCAGATATAAATTAAAAGCCTGAATTATAATGTTAATCATTTAAAAATAAGAATAATAAATATAGTTTTTGGCTATTTCATAGATATTTAAATTATTTATTATTATAAAAAGGAATCAATATTTCAGATGTTAATTTAGTAAAATGCAGTACAGATAACAGAGAAGAAAACAGCAACATTAATGAAATTCCAGACATGCATTTTCCCACAGACACCTTTCAGAATACAGATGATGTGAAGGTAAGCAATGAAGTTATTCTGCATTTATCCAATGTAGCCACATACATTAAAATTTACTCTAACTTATTTAGGTAGAATATATCTCATCCATTCGGGAAGAAGAAATTAAAGAAATCTATCAGAAAGAGGGGGAAGTGGATGATGTCAAAAACATTGATATAGATGTGCACAGCAATGTCAGAGTGGAACCCAGTGGACTGGATACTAGTAGTATGAATTTAGAAGATTTTACCAGCCAACGTGTGGAAGGAAACACTCCAGAACACTGCAGTGATGTTGAAATTGTTAATAATGAATTAGAAAACTCAAATGTTGTTGAGATTTCCGAAGAACAAACTGTTAATAGAACTGAAGACATACCAATGGCACAAACTCCGGAAAAAGCTCCACAAACAACCAAAATAGAACCAGTTAAACAATGTAAGTATATTGTTTTATTCCAGCAACATACATATAGTCATATTAACGTGCATTTTCCAAATTTTGGGATTTGTAACTGGCAAAGAAAGGACTGTACTAACTTTTATCCTTATAAATATATCATTCTTTTAACATTTGCTCTTTTATTTTTCTTAATTTCTCATAATTTTCATTCATGCACTAGCAATTTTTCCCTAGTTCTTCCTCTTGCATGCTTACTGTTTACAGTATTTACATATAATTCTCTCTCTTTCTTTCTCATTTAAGTAATGTTTAAATTTATCAAATATCATCAACATTCACCATTTTCTTTTAGTGGAAAGTCCTTCAGAAGTTGTAGAGGAACCAGAAACACCACCCTCAGAGGGTAGTAATGCAGATGTTCCCATTAGGAGAAAGAGAAAGTTACCAATAGAACTGCAAGAGTTGCCACACCTAACAGGATGGTCAAGAATGGCTTCGGGATTGTTGGAGAAAGTGGGTAAATATAGAGGTTCGGGTCGACTGGTGGGTGCCGCTCATTGGTTTTTACAACCCGGTATGAAGTTTTTCATTTGTTTACCCAATTTTTTTCATATATGTAATTGACAATTGAATGATTCATTTTAGTTACACCTGCTGATGCTCCAGGATATTATGATATAGTGAAGAAACCTATGGATTTTTCTACTATCAAAAAGAAATTAGAAGTGAGAATAACCATTAATTTTCATAAAAATCATCTTTAAATAATTACAATTAAGAATTGTCTGAAACTTGGTACCATGTTCAAAATTCAATAAACAAACTACTAAAGCCAGATGAATTGGTAAATTATCAGGCTATATTAAGGCTAAGTTAATAATTAGATACAAAGTAATTTGTCTACAGGTAGGCAATTGAGCTGGCAGTTAGGCAATGCTTCATTATTAGATTCAATGTACCAAAATTGAAGGATCATATTTTATTCTGGTTGATTGCTATTTGATTTGATGTATCTGATGATAAACATTTATGTTTAAAAACATCAATAGTGAGGATTGAAATAATTTTTTTTTGATAACAAAGTCCTAAAGTTTAATTTTAATATTTCATAAAATATTTTAGGGTGGCCAATATAAAAATTTGGAAGAATTTCACGCCGACATGATGCTAGTGAAAGCCAATTGCGATTTATACAATCCTCCAGGACACGAAGCGAGAACGGACGGAGAAGAGGTTTTCACTTTTTACCTGCAAGAGTATAATAGAATTGTTGAAAAGTGGCAGAAAGTGAGTCTCTTTCTTTTCATTCTTTAAGGCAGAAAGAAATTTCACAAAATCTAAATAACAATTTCTGATTTTCAGAGCCACTTGTTGTCCAGCTCTCGACGTTCCAAATCTAGTAAAGAGTAAATATTAGCAACATGACTCATTCTGTATTTAAGTTTGTTCTTTCCGATTTTTTAAAAATCGACTCAAAAATGTCTTCCATCATTTTAATTGTAAATTTATCTGAAGATTCGTTGTGTAAATGATACTCTTTAATTAGATTTAAATGAATTTTACATCGTCCTTAATGGGGATTTGTTCCAAATTGCCATTAAGTCCTTCTGTTTCTTTTTTTAATCTGTAAATAGATTTCATTAAATTTTTCTTACAATCATTATTTTATTCTATCATTTTACTAATAAAATTATTTAATTTATACTAACAAAATTGCAACTTTATTGGACCATACAAGAAAATTTTGGACGTACCAAAACAAAAGTGACAACTTGAAATTTATAAAATGACATTCTGTTATACATTTTTTATTCTAAATTATAAATTCTGCCATAGAATATTCAAATTTCAAAATATAACCACAGAATACAACTTGTTCATCGATAAATTTGTAAGCTTCAGCATATGTTTTCACATTGCTTTACATATTTTCTACATTTATGAATTCCATTAATTTCTGCTGGTTTATTTTTCTCAGACATTATTGAATTATGTACCAGATGTCACACAATGTCAACTGTCTGTCTGAGAAAAGTTAAAACACCGTACAATGAATGTGATTTTTCAAAAAAAAAAAAAAAAAAGAATTCAAATTGTATGATTTGAATAAATCATTTTTTTTTAATGTAAATACCAAAAATATAAAACACAAAACAAAAATTTAGTGAGAACTTCAGAAAGTTTTTTCTTGTATTTGATAAATTTTAAACATTAATCCTTCAATCGAATATCAAGTATTATATACAGAGTGTACCAGAAACACCTGAAAGCTTTTTAAAATAAAGAATTTCTTCAGGAAAAAGTATAAATATTTATTGCCTTGCACAGATAAATTCTTTTTTAAATGGAGAATGAATGTATATCACCATTATTTCCTGAATGTAACATTTTGTAAAGGACTACCTTTCTGATAAACGAATTCTTATAGTCTGTCCGGAAAAGATGCCTTAACTCGCAGCAACATGTTTTGTGGAATCTCCTGAATGCATCAATGAATTCAATCTTTTGGCACTTTAAAACTAGCTGAGTGTGTCTCGTAAACTTTATATTTCAGGTAGCTCCACAAAAAAATCCAACACTGTTGGGTCTGGCAATTGAGCAGACTAGGGGATTCCCCAAAGTGAGAAATCACTTTATCTGGAAACATTTCTTGCAGAAGTTCAGGGTACACTGAACATAATGATAAAGTTTTAAATATCTATACGTGCCCAGTGCCGTAACTAGCCATTCCTGTGCCCTGTGCAAGAATGCATTTAAGCCTCTTAATTAATTAGGTTTGGGAAAGTAATAAAACTAATACATGCATTTTGGGCCCTTCTTCCAAGTAAGTCCTGTGCAGATGCACCTGTTGCACCTGCCTAGTTACGGCACTGTACATGCCAAATATTAATAGAAAAAGGTAATGTATACCACCATCTGTCGGCATTATATAAAAATTGAGCATAGTGATGTGTTATATTACAATGAGCTGTAATGGGTGTCCTGTGAATTAAATTTAAAAACCATCAGGTGTTTCTGGCATAACAATGGAGACATTTATTTTTAAAGAAGTAAAATATCAATTTTTATTGATAAAACCTCTAAATTTTATGATACCAATGTAAAGTATAGCAACAAATAAGATGACAAAACACTTTTATAACTTTTACAAAAATGTAACAAATAGTGTTTTGTATTTTCTTGCATCACGTGTGGTACAGGGTCGAACAATTGCAAAACTAGAAATTTTATTTAATATTTTTAGCTTTTCATTTCAGATTGTTTTTATTTTAGGTGGATCCGACCCCACTGTGCCTAAAACATCACAGTTATTGTCATTAAATGATGCCCATTTTAAACAGTCGTCATATTTTTTGTATAATCTTAGATGATGAATCCTCACGCTATATAATAAGCATGCTTAACTTTAAACATTTTTATGTGTGCCAAACTTTTGGACTTTGAATAACAATAAAAAAAAGAGCTGATTGAAAAATAGGATGATTAAGTAATAAACTAAAAGCATGATTGAAAATATGGGTAACATACCGAAATTATGTGATATGTTACATGCCAGATAGTGTGTCTCAATGTGCCACAGGTTCGCCGTTGCCGAGCTAGAGGATCTTTCCAAGCTCTTGCTAAACAAAGCAGTCAACTGATAGCAAAATGAAATGTGCAAAAATCATGATTCTACATCTGTAGCCTTTTCCATTCAAATGTTATAAAAGACTAGTGACCATTGCAAAATTAATATGTAAACTGTCCAACAACGATCATGTATATTTCATTTCCTAACTTTCCATAATTTATTGTAATTGTATGTCTATATTTTCTTGACTCGAGAGTTAAAAAAGAAGAATACTCTCAACAAAAATTAAAGTGTTAATTCAGAGAAATCACAGTGAGATGAGATCAAAACTCTCTATCAGAGCAGAAATTGTGTTCCGTATATGCTTGGATTTCAAAGCCATGGATTTCAAAGCAGATGCAACAAAGGATTGATTTTTTAATAACAAATGTACAAGAACTAAATTGGTTTTAATTAAGTTCTTTTTCTCTTCGTAGCAGGGTGGCGGAGGAGGTAGAGGCATCACTCTGTTGTTCTGGGAGAGCTAGGTTTGAATTTGGATAAGAATCATTGAAGAGTAATACTTTCAATAAGTATTGCAAAATTGAGGAACATTTAAAAAAACAAATTGGGATGATCTTATTGAAAACAGTATCCATTTCCCCTCATTTTTCTCAGTTTTTACTTGGAGGAGGGCCTTTTTTTCCGATTATTACTATATAGCAGTGTATTACATACATGAAGTTGGTCCCCCTAAATGTTTGTACTAACTAAAAATTTGTCATTCAATTGTTCTATGTTTGTATTGGATTGTTCAAAATTTTTGTACCATGATATTTTATTAGTTAGATGCAAATTTAAATCCCAGACAAGACCATAGAAAAATTTAGGACTCAGAGGTAGAGGCCCCTTTGCCATTAATTTTTTGAACAAATGACATATGTAAAATGTTTATCGACAGTCTTAAATTTAATAAAGAATTAAACTGACAGTCCTTTATCTGTCAGTAATCAGGTATTCGTCTATGCAAGGAATGGCCAGATTAGCAGGAGTCTCCTGTATATTTTTTGTAAAGTTTTACCATGTTAATTTAATGAATTAGTTCCTATAACAGAGATATTGAAAAAAAGTTATCACGTAATAATTGCCGCGCTAAATTGTTCGCTTCGTTTGTTAAAAACAGACACTGAAATTACGAAAATTTAAAAAGAAAAAAATTGAATTGAAATAGTGAATGAAAGAATGGCTCCACCGCAAACCGCTTATCAAGTGGAAAATTTTGATCCTTTTCCTAACGAAGATTTAATATGTAGCATTTGCGACTACGTTTTCTACGACCCAGTAGAATGCCCGTGTCGTCACGTTTACTGCCGAAATTGCATTTGCGATTGGTTGAGTTGTCAGAATACCTGCCCCATTTGCAGGAAATCGGTTATTTTATACGAACTTCAAGCCGTAGGGCCTATAATCAAAAATATGATAATGAAGTTGACCATTCGTTGTCCGAATTCCGAACACGGTTGCAAGCAGAATTTCGCCTTGGAGGAATACGATTCTCACTTATCTAATTGTGATTATGTAGTAGTAAAATGCAATAAATGCCAAGAGGAAATGGTAATTAAAGATAGATTTAAACACGAGCAATTAGAATGCAATTATCGATTAATTCAATGCAAAAAATATTGCTCTCTCATGTTGCCCGCTAATGTAATGAAATCTCACAATTGCGCTGAAGAATTGACAAAGGAAATAGGAGATAAGAAGAAATTAATTAACGAATTAAAACATAATTTAAAATATTGTAAGAAACAATTCAATAAAGATGCAACATCGAGTCAAGTTGTTAACGATATTAGAGCGGGTAAATCATCTGCAGTTACTTTTATTAATAAAATGAAGAAACTTCTAGTTGATTTTTCAAGGCGTGTGCATCGAAAAGAACAGGCGAAAGAAACCAATAATCGTCCCGAAAATATTGATAATTCGTGGGAAGGCAATGGCATCGAATCAGATTTAATTAATGCCAATCGATTGCATTGCGCACCCATATTTCATTGTTTCCGTGACGAAATTTTTAACCCATCGGATTCGAGTGAAGCAGAAATACGTAGCGTGATGACGACATTAGATGAACCCGGTGAATTTATAATACCAACACGCAGAAATATTGGTACCGAATGTTCTTCTGGTCATAATGAAAATAGTATGGCATCAACACCCAATGTATCAATTACAGCGGACGAGATGCAAGAACGGAAGAAATTTCACTCGGGTGTAAATATTTCACACGAAATGCAAAGGATTAAACATTTACCAATTGTAATGTTTACAATTCCAAATGTGAGAATGTCAAAACAACGGAAATTTTCTAATTCTACAAATGCAATTGGNTGATTTCTTAATTAATCTAACAAAAAATGGGGCCCTATTGAATGTCAAAAAGCCCTAGACCCCAAAAAACCTCGATCCGCGCCCTGGCTGCAGCCAATTACCATGATGATCCATTTCTATTTCTAAGCACGTGTGAAAAGAATGGTGTGTGGCAGCTGACAGTCACCGAGAAAAGTCGGTCAGCAAACGAAAAAGATGCGGAAGAGGAGTTTAAAAAGAAGCTGGAAAACATGATAAAGGAAGAACTAACTCCTGCTGCAGTGTACAATACTTCTGATAATGATATATTTTTCAAAATGAAACCTTTCAAAAACTCTTGCTGCTAAGAACAAAAAGGATCAGAGAATTTTGGAATCGATTAAGCATCCCTATCCACATACAGTTCTTATCTGCCTACTGAATGAATGTGAAAACGATTCTACGAAAGCTATGCTGAAGGCGTGTAAAGAGATCAACACGAGTGATATTGTCTTCCAAACAGCAGAAGCGTGGCACATTGTAGGAAGTACTACAATAGTAAAGTATTGGGAAAAAGTATGGCCTTTGATTGACACTAAGTTGGAGTCTGCATCGAGTCAGTCAATTCAGAAGAATCGTTTTCAAATGATGTGTTCGTTGATTTGTTCCACAAGCTTCCAGAAGAGAAAGTCGATGAAGAAGACATTAATAATTGGTTGAATGAAGAATATTGTGGAGTAGACCAAGCTTTAAGAATGTTTGGGAAAGGAAAAGAGGAAAAACTAAGGACTGCCTCAATTGTAGAGAAAGATGGACAGTGGCACAGTGGCGATGTAGAACTCAATATTTTGGAATTATGTTCTACATCGCCACTGCCGCTGGAAACTTGTAAATGGAATCAAGATCCAAGATTTCGGCCTACCGCTTTCGAGACCCGGGATCAAATACTGGCGGTGCCAAGCATTATGGGCCCCATCGTAGTAAGCATAAGTTATTTTCAAATTAAAAATTACAAAATGTACATCATGGCAGACCGAATGTCGGTTTGCACGGGTCCTTCTACGGCGTATCACATCCGAATCTGTACTAATTATTTTAAAATTTCGAGGGATCGCTTTTGCATAGGTCATTTAATGGTGGCCTGGATTGTAATAAATTTAAAAGTCTTTTTTAAATTCATTACAATATACACTATTATATTTGTTATGTTATGTTCTGTGGTTTTATCCGCTATGTCACTTGGTGGACCTTGTATTCCAATCAGAACGCCGGTAACATGCTCAGTAAAACAATGTCCAAGCATGGATATAATAGCGTTTTGTTCGGCGTGGAGTCATTGTGTTTTATCTTAATTAATGGTCTATTTCACGCGGGGTATAAGAGAAAATGAAGATCACGGACCTATCAAAGGATGAAAAGTACGCGAAAAAATAGGTTCGAGTTAAAAGTACCGGCAATTTCGACTTCTTTCTGCTGGGGGCACTAAAAAAAAAGCCTATTTTAGCAAGCCTATTATAGATTTGTTCAGGCCCACAATAAGTCGGACAGGTGATGAAGGATGAGAACCGATGTATCCGGCCGAACCATCCTCCGAAGAATTCTTTTCGACCCGTCCGGATTTGACCCCGGATCCTCCAGAACGGTAGGTTGCCACCTTAATCGCTCGGACACCGGTGGCGCGATCAAAAGGGCAATTTTCTCGGGCTCCAAACCGATCTTTTATGAGAAAACTTCCCCAAAATCCCTCAAAGACAAATGTCTGAAGTCAATAGTATACGTAGTGTCCCCTAATTCAAATATTCCTGGGTCCCATGAAGATATAACGCAAACTGGTGCTATTCTCTACTTTCAAAATCGAGCTTTTTGTCATTTTACAACAGTTAAAAATATAAAAAGGCATTTAAATGAAATATAACAGATGGCTCTACCAAAATTTTAAATGTTACCGGGAAAGTTCAGCAACTCTTGTCTGGTTTGTTTATTAATATTGGTTCGGGAAATACTAAGGAAGTGGGGGGCCATATCTCCCGAACCATTGGTCCAATTTTCCTGAAAATTTCTAGAAACATTTCCCCCTAATACGCAAACCTCCCTGCAAGATTTCAGAAATTTTCAACAAAAGGCACAGGAGTTATTAAGATTCAAATTGGGTGAAAAAAAAAATCGTTTCCCCCACACACACTAAGTCCATACATAAAGAAAATCCCCAACTTTTTCTTTGCAATTCTTTTGCGTACAAAAGAAGAATGTAAAGAGCAGCAGCAGCATACAAAAGAATTAACATTATCAACATTTCAAAGTCCCAGAGTCCAAAAATGTAAAAATCTTAGGAGACATTTTATGACCTATCGCCATACTTTCCCTCTGTTATATAACAACTGGGAAAGTAAAAGAAAAAGGAATAAAGAAATCTAGACAGTGAAAATGTTCCAAAGTACAAAACTTCCAAAGTACAGTACAGTACAATAGATTCTCCTATTGTTTAAGACAAAGTGAATGACACTATTTCGAGGTATTAATTTAAATATATGCATTCTTTTAAATGTGTTTATTGCATAAACATTTTGATAAGTAAATACTGTATTTGCATATTATCTCTAATTCTAGAAATACCGTAAACTCCCATTTTTACGACTTAATTGATTCGTGGAAAAATCTGTAGTAACTCGAACTCTCCCTTATTATGTTCAGTGTCGTAAATAGAAGCTACGTTACACTACAAAATCATCGATACTTATTCTTAATTTATTATCAAATATTAAAGGATATTATCCTAAATCTTAATCCTTAATATTATATAATAATATCTTAAACTACTTTATTATTTATCGTAATTATTTTCTTTACGAAGTTCGGTAAACTCGGCCTTGTTTTTATACTGTATTTACACAAGACACATTTAACACATGTTTAAAGATAATTAAACTTTGCAGACATAATCAAACAACAAAATCAGCGAAAATTATGTAAATATATCATAAAAATTCTTCCGCCAAAGTTGATGTAACCTTTAACCCGTATCTTAAGTCGTTAGACGCCATTTTAATTGAAAATTAAGCGACAGGAACTTAAAAAAAAGTTATTTAAAACAGCTAATTAACTATTTTCACTTCATTAATTATGAATTTTTTTGCATTTTATAATTAATCAATCAAATTGGTTAATTAGTTGTAAGTAAATTTGTTTTTTTAGTGTTGTAATTACTCTTTATAACTATGGCAATTTACTTGTTATAATAGGTCATTATCGCTTTAACAAAAGCATTAAAAATGTATACAAGAAATTGTAAAATAAATACATATAATATATACGAAATTGTAAACAATTTAATAATGTTTAACACTTACAAATATACGTACATTTTGATGCAAAATTGTACATAATTTACACTCTTTTGCGTACAAAAGAAGAACGTAAAGAGCAACAGCATACAAAAGAATTAAGTTTATACAAATATTCTGTACAATAAGAGAAATAATATATTCAAAAACAGTAAATGTAGGTTTAAATATGTACGAGAAATAACATTTTTTAAAAAGGAAACAGTGTACAAACTCCCGATTATGAAACACTAGAAGTATGCGTTACTTGCAACTTTTATCAGCGATTACTCGCCTCTTTTTTTTTCTCCCTTTTGGATAAAATATTTTAAATATCTTTTAAATGTAATAACTTAATTAAGGTTTAAGTGTTATCTAGACGCTTTTATTTATTTATAAAAAAAAAATAAATAAATTTAATTTCTGACGTTTATAAGTACCATTCTTACGTACGTCCTTCGTTAAATTGAATGTAAACCAAACTAGGAAGTCAATTGTACGGCGTTTGTTTCAATCTACGAACAAACACCAACTCGTACTTATTCATTAAACAATTAATAAGTATGCGGTAGTGTTAGAGAAGCGCTTTTTTTTTATATTATTTCCTTCGCTACACGCTTTAACTTAGTCTCTACCACTAAATTTGGTCGGACCGCTAGTAGTAGATGACAGAGGTCACGAAGCACCCGGCAAAGGGTCATCCTTCGTCCAATCAGTAAGCGCCTTGCATTTCCGTTCGGTTCTAAACTGCTCGTGTAACACTCGTACACTAGTAGGGTCGATGCAATGGCGAAAGTAGCGAGCGTGTTGTTGCCTTCGAATCTGTGTTGTGTGTTTTTATTGATTATTACGGTATTCGTTCGTCACTTTAGCTGCCAGTACGAAGTGTCAGCCACCGATATAGGACATAACGTACAGACTAGATGCGTGGACGATCAGAGAAGACCACAGAGATGTATACCAGAGTTCGTCAATGCAGCCTTTAACATCAGAGTAGAAGCAACGAATACATGTGGCACTCGGGGCCCTATCGAATATTGCTTACAGACTGGTGCCACGGGTGCTACAAAATCTTGCGAATTATGCGATAGTGGTAACCCATCATTAGCACACCCAGCTGATTATCTGACAGATTTTAACAACAATGATAATCAAACTTGGTGGCAGAGTGAAACTATGTACGAAGGGATACAATATCCTAACAGGGTTAACTTAACTTTAAATCTAGGTAAGTTATAATGACAATTTATTGTATGTCCTTCTCTCCCCCCCCTATTCTGTTAATGTCAGTGGGCCACACACGTCGTTCTTCGGGTCATTTAAAGCCGACTCGAAACTCAAATCTTATCAGTAGTTTCTCATTCTACAACCTTTGGTATGAATGGAATTCATTAACAAATAGTAGCGATAACGTGTTGATATTCCAAGACTTTATCCTACAAAGGAAAGCGTAGGATAAGGTATAAATGACGATAGGATCTATAAATAGATTAATTTTTTTTTTTAAATTAAAGTGTAAGAGCGTTCTAACAGGGGAATATAATTTTATTCCTGTGTTAACAAACAATGAAAGCTCGTAGTAAAGTAGTGTTTCGATAAAGGATAATCGGCAAGACACCAGCGAAATAGGATCCTGCAGAATTTTTGAGAAAATGGGTGAGGTCATTGCCCCAGTTCAATGAAAAAAAGGATTTTTCTGTTCCTGCTTTAAAAACAAAATACGATTGCTCTCTTGTAAATGAAGCGATATTCCCCCCCTAAAATAAAGAAAACCGATGCTACTTTTTGTTGTTTCCTATCTACAGACAGGATCGTGAGTAAAAAAATAAGTGATTCTTTTCGCTGTTTATCACCTGTAATCACTTATTTGTTTTTTTTTAAGAATTAAAATAAGGTAGAAAAGAGGATATTTTTTTAAAATATTAATATGCAAAAAAGAAGAGGGATATATACTCAAATGTTTACAATTAAATTTAAAAATATACGCCTACGATATATTTAACAATTAGGCGCGAAAAGTCTAATGTAAACTAAGAAAAAGTGACAAATTTATCTTTAGTATCCGGGGAAAGAATGGCGCGTGTGTCAAAAATAGGGAAAAATTATGATATTTTTTTCGTTAATAAACATAAGTAGGAGCTGTTTAAACTCAAAAATAGAAAGTAAATTGTGTTTTTGTCAAATGTACACAAATACATATCCTATTTTCACGTAGCAAAACCTTTAAAGTAACTAAACAATATAGAAATGACCCGTCGCGCACTCCATTACTTTAAAAGAAGAAGAAGAAAAAAAGGATAATCAAGTATAATTGTATTAAAATCATCGTTTATCAGATAATAAACTGTATTCATTATACATCTTTAATGGATAATCAATGGGATCGATTAACTGTAACGAACCACCCGCTAAGCAGTAGATTACAACAGTCGACCTCCCTATAATACGTGACCCGTTCACAGCCCGGCACATGTATTTGTAAAATCTAAGTGACTCGTACAATATGGAATTCATATAAAACGGAATTATCAACAGTGTTATAGGGGGATCGACTAGTTTATATGGGAAGGGAGGGGAGAAAAAAAGTAGCGTAACGCGTATGTCAGAGGTCAAAACAGTACATTTTATAAACGAAATTACTTTATAAAGTTACTTTATAAAGATTTTTCTTAACATTCCATCATTACAAATCGTAGTAAGTCCGGATGAGGAAGTATTACGCCCTCGAAGGAGTGTCCATATAATCACCATGTGTTATAAATTGGAGCTCGTTACGCTGTTTATAAATGGAAAATTTTATCATTAATTCCATTTAGATATCGATAAAAGAATATATATATCCGGAAGATTGCTTAATCTTCTTCTTTTTTCTATGAAATTTTTTAATATTACATCCAGCATCTGGTGAATGATAGTGTGAGAAACCTGTTGAAGGATTAAATTTCCACCCACATGTCAGTGAAAAATTATAATGTCTTGTTACATGTTTCATATTTATTACAAGTTGTCATTGATGATTTTAACCATTTATATATTTTAAAACTGTATAAAATAAATTATATAATTCTTTTACAATGTTGTATATTGTCTGTCTATTTTACAAGATTTTCAGAGATAATGAGAAGTGGAAGCTAAACTTTTATTTTTATTTTTTTCTCTTATCAATTTTAAGCTTCTTTTTTCTTTTAAAGCTAAAATTTAGGATTTTATGTTTTTATTGTGGTTTTAGATTATAGGTTTTAATCTACTGATGTGAAAAGATATAAGAAATATTAATTACTTTTTACTGTTTTCTTATGTTAAATTGATAAATTAGTTGATAAAAATTACTTCAAATATGGAAAATTTAATTGTTTTAACGTTTTGAGTATTCGCTTTGTAAGTTTTTTATGGGGTATTTACTCGGCCACCGTCCGTTAATTATGTGCGCATTTTTTGAGACACTTTTGACCCCTCTACCGTGTACAATGATGCGCTTTTGGTGAATCTCCTCCCTTTTAATTACATTTTCGATAGTTTATGGACCTGATATTAAAGAAATGACTTAAAAAAGTTTTGCAAATATTTCCTAACTGATAATTTATTCATACAATTAGTAATTAAGCTTACAAGAACAAATTTGTATGCCACTAATACCACTAAAAAAAAGTCCATGTAAACATTACTTTAACCACTTTCCTCCTGTCATGTACTGTACTTTGATGTACTTTTCATAAACCTTCTCCCTCGCTCAAAGTGTACATATTGAATATATACAATGGCTAGTCTCTTATTAAGCTTATCGGGACTTAACGAGTAAATAATTTAAAGGAGAACATAAGTAGAGAAAAAAATTATTGTAAAATTTAAATTTAATAGTCAACTATTCTTGATATTTCTTGTAATTTCTATAGTAGTCCCTGCTTCAGAAGTTGCGGTCATATATGATATAGCAAATGCTTGAATGTTAATACTAAAAATAAACCAAATATGAATTTTTAAGATTATTTTAGCTATTTTTTAACTAATTAACATCAAAATTTAGCCTATATATAGTTGAATATAGGCAAAATTTTGATATTAATTAGTTAAAAATGTATGAAAGTGTGTTTGTATGACTTTATCCAAGAAATTCCAACATTTAAAAGATAATTGTATTAAAAATTGCATGAATATAATTTAAAAGATATGATGATATTTGATTTATATTTAAACATTTATGATGTTTAATATTCATATGAAATCCTTTATATATTTTCTATGAGAAGATATTATCTAGCTGTTTTTATATATTTCTTTAATACTAAAAAGTGCTCTGAATAAGTTTTTGGCTCAATTACGATGCATGACTTAAATTATTCTATATCAGAGATCGTAAAATTCTCCCTTTTTTTGCTTCAGGAAAATCATTTGATATCACGTACGTTCGATTAAAATTTCATTCGAGCAGACCCGAAAGCTTCGCTATCTATAAAAGAACTACAGAAGATGGTGAATGGATACCCTATCAATACTATAGTGCTACTTGTAAATCGACGTATGGTATATCCGAAGGTTCCTACGTCGTCAGAGAAAACGAAACTAAGGCATTATGTACGTCGGAATTCAGTGACATTTCTCCGCTTTCTGCAGGAAATGTGGCTTTTAGCACGTTGGAAGGACGACCGAGTGCTTATATGTTTGAACAAAGTCCCGTCTTGCAAGTAAGTACTTAAATTCTATAAATAATGATACTATTGGTATATAAATATATATGTATTTGGAAGGATGTAACTAAAAAACTTAAGTTTTATTATTATTATTATGACATATTTGCATAATTCATTATGTGATAAATGGAGGAAACTAAATAAATATAAGTTCTATAAACAGGATATGATTACTATATAATTTATCATTTTGTGATAGATTTTTAAGTAAATAATTCCTTTTTAGGAATGAAAATTAAACTATAAAACTTAAAAAGTATCAAATTTAATTAAAAGAATTTAAATATTGTTTCAATATGTAGCCATTAAACTACTGAACAGGCTAAAAATACATAAAATTTGCCTATATTAGCACATTTGAGATAACCAAAAATAAATGTAGCAAGTCATTGAAATGTAAATGATAAAGTTCATATTCGAATTTTTATATAAGTGAAAATTTGTTTTATAATTTAATAAATTTTATGACATGTTTTTAGAAATTTTCATTTTAATTCCTAAATCTTAATTAATAAATTTTAAACTTTATTGTTTAAACAATAAAATAAACATGAGAAGTACGATCAGATATGCTTTATTGAAGTATTTTTGTTAGTAATTACATTCCGAAAGCTTTTGAACCTCTCTAAATTATCTTTGGAGAAATAGTTATTGAATTTTATGACATTAGGAAGTGTAAAAATTGTATTTATGTTATTAAAATTTTCAGTGTGTATTGATTAAAAGTTTAAATTTGATCAATGACTCACAAAACCTTTGAATATCCAGTAAAATTATTTAATTGAAATAACGAACGCTTTCGACCTTAATATTCGTTTTTCATCAGGTTTTACGAATGCTGAGATTATTGTAAAACCTGATGAAGACCGAATATTAAGGTAGAAAACATTCGTTATTTCAATTAAATAATTTTACTGGATATTCAAAGGTTTTGTGAGTCATTGATATTTCTCCAGTAAAGAAGGTTACAAGAAGGTTTTTAACCTTTTCTCAGTGTATTTAAATTTGATGGAACACCACATAATAAGACTATTTAATAATTTAATAGAAATTTTCCAGCTTGATATGAAAGCCATATTTTAACAAACCATTACAGTCGACCCCCTATAACACTATAATAAAACTACAGTCGATAACTATAACCCCCCCTATAACACTGTTGATAATTCCGTTTTATATGAATTCCATGTTGTACGAGTCACTTAGATTTTACAAATACATGAGCTGTTCACAGCCCAGCACACGTATTTGTAAAATTTAAGTGACTCGTACAACTTGGAATTCATATAAAACGGAATTATCAACAGTGTTATAGGGGGTTATAGTTATCAACTGTAGTTTTATTATAGTAAGATGCTTCATCAAAATGCTTCAACTCAAAATTTGAATGGTTAAAGTTGAACAACAGAATATTCATTTGATTTTGACCGTAGCATTTAGATAAAATATAATAAGCTGATAAATTTTTGTTACATTTCTAAACTTTTTAAAGAAGGAATTGATTTCTGTAACTATATGTAACACGTATACCTATATCACATAACTATACATGATATATATGTGAAACTTAACACTACTTATATTAAATTTAAATTGAAATTAAATTGTTTACGATGTTAAATTTTTATAGAAGATAAATAAACAAAATAAACTTACTTTTAATTGCTTGAGTAAGTACTCAAGCAATTAAAATTAAGTACTTATTGTAAATAATAATCATAATGTCTTTGAGAAATGTGAAAGTTATACTGTATATGCGGAGTTCTCAACCTGTAATTTTGAAAACAGCTGGTATCATGGACAGAAAAAGCTAACAGCCAAAATTTTAATAAAAATATGGTGATTTAACAATTTTATTGGGATTCTCTAATGCAAGATGTACAGAAATGATAATCTTATTTAATAATTTATTTTATTTTATCCATTTTATACTTTTAATCATTTTGAACTGTTATATTAACACAGTAGTGTATAACAGTGATTTTCAAATATAGGGTTGTGACCATAAAGTGATGTTACCAATTCTTCTTATGTGGTCACCCATTTGCACTTTTTCTTAAACATTAAGCCTGGATGCCACATCACCTGAAAACAGAGAAACTCGGAAACAACTGAAACGTAGAGTTTTCTTTTTCGGTTACGTTTAGGTTTTAACTTGATCAAAATGAATGTTATGCAGAAATGTGCCACCTGTTAGTCAGTTCTGTAATCCCTGTATACTTTATGTTTCTGCTCTGCTTTGTTTCCTATTTAAAACATTTTATAACTTCAGGATCTCTGTGCAGTGTATCAAACTTTTTACCATTACAAAAATCAAATTACAGGTAACTATTGTATGTGATTAAGCATTACAAATCTATGCATTTTTATTGGTTGCAGTACAACAGAAAAGTGGAATGAAAACAGAAAAGTTAAATAATTTTTAACACTATTTTTGGTCTTGTTTCTGTCCAAATGAATGTTCTAAAACTGAAAATTTTGTCAGTTTGGCTGTTAGTTTTACAATTTCATTGCAGATTCAGGTAATGTGGAGTCCAGGCTTTAATCCTTTGATTAAAAATTCTTTAAAAATATTGACAACCCTCAATTTATTGTCAATTACAATCAATAAACAAAGGATTAGTGGATTTGTATGTTTATTAACAATGTCATTCTAATATACGAAGAAAACAAATTGTCCAAAAATAACAATTAGAAGAAAAAGGAAATATGTTGCAGAGTTTTTAAAATATGGATTGCCATACAAAGAAATTAATAGCAAGTATTTAACATTTTGTATAATTTTTAGCAAAACTTTTGCAGGTTTCAAGCTCTTAAAGACAATTAGAAAGAAGCCATCCAATGTATGTCAAAAAAGCTATTATATTTTTCGAAAGAAAACTATCCAAATAGCTGAAAAAATTCAAGAAAAATTTTGATTATTAAAACAAAGTATAAAACAAAAAATTGCTTTTAAAGATTGATAATTGGAAGCATCGGTGAAAAAGTGGACAAATGCCTAACAATATAGACGTACTGACAGTACTCTCAAAAAGCTAATTGTCTGTACAAAAGCAGATGATTGAGAGATTTATATACATGTAACATGATAACAATGTTATTCTCATAAAAAATTAACATTTAGCAATTCAGATACTTAACATGTGTCTAATATTTTTAGGGAAAATAACTATTCATTGGTGTTTTACAAGAGTAGTTTGATTATATTGAACTATAACAAGGTTTGATTGTAGATATGAATCTTGGAGGAATCTATTTGGGTTTTGCAAGCTTATGAAAATTAATAATGTAAGATTCCACTGCAGCAGTCAAAAATAATTGAACAATAAATCACATTGTAGACAAACCGAACTGAGGTAACTCAACACCTGTGGAGTAATCTTATTTAAACTTTTTATCAGCAACAGCTTTGTCTTGTAATTTAGAGGCAGAAGAATATTTTGGAAAAATTAATTGAGATTAAGAGTAAAATCTTGTCAGACTAAAACACATAAATCCATAAATCACATTGGGGTCATTCTAAACTAATGTTCTCAAATGACTTAGGAAAATAAAATAAATTAGTTAATTGTTTTTCATAAAAAATTTGGGTTCATTTCAATGGTAATATACTGTAGTTCAATAGCATAAACTTGTTTTTGGGATGACATTAACAGACAAGTTATAATGCAACACCAAATGTAAAGGATTGGGCATAGGCTACTACATGTAATACATTTACCATGCAAATTTTGATTTTTATAAACTATATAATGATGACAGTTTCTATTGTACATTCGAGTATTTAAAATGTTAAGTATGGATAGTACAGACTAGACTATAAAAATAGTTTTAATTGACAGTTTCCATACGTACTGTACAGTATAATGAAGACTTGGTTTTCTATACACATTATATATGTTATTTTGCAGAAATTTTCTTGTTGAGTTATCATAAACAAATGGGCATCATTTAACATTGCTAAAAAGTTAATGAAAGACTTTGTACCATTAAAAAGCCATAACGTAACATAATTTATATTGTGTAACAAATTACTGTTTTTGTATTTCTTTGTAGTGTTTAGACAAATGTGTAACATTCCCTAGAATTTATTTTGATGTAGTTTTAATTTTTCTTGGTGACATCCAGTTCCCTTAAAAAATAAAAATGTAACAAACGATATAAAAAATTACTAATGTATTTAATGGAGCATACGTAAGACATATTAATAATAAGAAAAAGATTCTCCTGTGTATTTTGTTATGTTAACAAATGCGATCATTTCTTAGGATGTGTAATATGGAACAAACAATTGGCATGCATGAAATAATGAAAAAAGTGTACTGTAAAAGAAATTGAGGTGGGAAATAATTATCGTATTTACTCGCATATAAGATGAGGTTTTTATTCATTTATAACAGCTTCAAATTCCTAGATTGTCTAATACACTTGAGTGAAAGATTCTTTGCGTTTTTGCAAATAATTTTTGTGAACCGTATATTCACATTTTTTACTGGATGCTTACCCTCTTGTATTTAAAAACATAAGTGTTTTATCTGGATCATTTGAATTGTTCTTATATATTGTTGGGAGTAAAGGTGATTAGCAATCTTCTTTATGTGTCTTCTCCTGTCAGGAGGTTGACAACCATTTCATGCCACCATGACCTATCTTGTGCTTCTCTTGAGCACTCTTCATACGTTAAGTATGTCCAATTCCTGATGTTGCTGAACCAGTTCTTTCTTGGCCTACCTCTACCTCTTTGCCCTTCTATCATTCCCTCTAGTAATAGTTTTTGTAGGCTGTTGTGTCGCATAACATGACCCAGATATCTCACAATTCTTTTCCTTACTACTTCTAATAAGGTCCTTTTCTGGTTTGCAATTGCCAGGATATCTTCATTTGTTCTTCTTGCCTTCCAAGAAACTCTCAGCATTCTCCGAATCATCCACATTTCAAATGCCTTTAATTTCTTTTCATTACTTGCATTCATTGTCCAACACTCTGCTCCATAA